ATAGGTTTGGCACACAGTTTAAGATAGTGAGTGTTGTGTGGTAGAGGGTTATGCAGAGGAGAGAGAAATGTGTAAGAAATGTTGTGAACCACAAATTCTTTACTAAAAAGGGAAAGTGGAACTTTTAATTGGAACGGACGAAAAAGAAAAGTTGGAAGTTTATTTAGGAACGGAGGGAGTAGTATACTGCCCGTGGATACGCACGGGAAAGAGCAGTTGGTGCATATATTTGTATTCGTGATATAATTACAATTAATATATAAATATTTCTCGCTTAATAATTAGCAAAATTATCTTCTTATATCTAAAAGCACCACATATGAGAGAGAACTCTCCCGCTATATTGTTAGCTTGCATATATACTTAAATATCTAAAAGCAGTACATATGGCAGAGAAAACTCTCTTGCTCAATTGTTAGTTGGATTATCATACTTAAAAGAATTACATATGAGAAAGAAAGTTTGTCCGCTGAATTGTTAGCAAGCTTATTTTCTTATCTTCATATATATCTAAAATCGTTACATATGAGAGAGAAAATTATCTTGTTCAATTTCCCCGCTCAATTATTAGCAAACTTATATTGTAATATGTAGAAGCACTACATGTGAGAGAGAAAATTTTCCCGCTCAATTATTATGAAGCTTATTTTCTGTTACTCAGAACCACTACATATGAGAAATAAAGTTTTCACGCTCAATTGTTAGTCGACTTATCTTATCTTATACTTAAAAGCACTACATATGAGAGAGAGAGTTTTCCCGCTCAGTTATTAGCAAATTTATCTTCTAATATTTAATACGTATCTTATACTTAAAAGCACTACATATGAGAGAGAGAGAGTTTTCCCGCTCAGTTATTAGCAAATTTATCTTCTAATATTTAATACGTATCTTATACTTAAAAGCACTACATATGAGAGAGAGAGAGAGTTTTCTCGCTCAGTTATTAGCAAATTTATCTTCTAATATTTAATACGTAGTACCTAAAAGCATTACATATGTGAGAGAAATTTTTTCCGCTCAATTTGTCCGCTCAATTGTTAGCAAGCCTGTCTTCTGATACATTGAAGCACTACATGTGATGAGAAAATTCTCCCGCTAACCACTACATATGAGAGACAAAATTCTTCTGCTCAATTGTTAGCCTGCTTATCTTATCTTATACTTAAAAGCACTACATATGAGAGAGAGTTTTCCCGCTCAGTTATTAGCAAATTGAATCTTATGACTTTATAAGAAATTGGGATTCTTATATCTTGGGCCCCGCCAATTGTATGACTTTATATTTCTCACTGCTAATATCTCGTATGACTCTCATTTGAGCAACTCCATCACACCACGTGACATTTTAAAACCATTGATCTATTTTACATTGACAATACTATCATATGTTGAACATCTTTTTCATTTAGAATGCCATTTAGAGTTTGTTTGGTAACACATAAAATAGATGAATCTATTGAATTGATGAAATTCTTGCTGAAATCGCTGAACTGGTTGAATATACTGAATTATGGGAAAATTAAATTTAAATATATTTTATTGATAAAGTAAATAAACATTTGTCTGAAAAAGTAGCTAAAATTTTCGTTTATAATAACTTCATTCAATTCAAGCAAAAAATTAACTTCAACCTTTCTTATTTTGATCATTACACAATTAAGTTCTCGATATCAAAATTGACTGGTAAGATTGATAAATTCAAAAATAGGGTCACCAAACAACACTTAATTTTAAATGAAAAATGAGCGTATAAGCATTTTTGTATAATATAAGGGCTGGGTTTTTTTTTATAGTCAATAAATGTCAATAAATCCTATTTTTATCCATTATCCTTTTTTATTGAAAATCTATTTTTATTCAAAGTGTTATATCCTTTTCATTTTAACTCTAACTTTAACAAAATATATTAAAATTCAGAATTCTTGTGACGTTTCATATGGCAACAATATTGCATTTTTTGTTGATTTATCAAACAACTTCCTGTTTTTTACCAACGATATCAATCATCTCGTATTAAGTAAAGAATTAATATATAACTATGACCTAATCTCAATTGTTAGGCGACTTATCTTATATTACACCCAAAAGTACTATACATAATATAAAAAAAAACTCGCTCTATAGTTAGCCACCTTATGACCTAATATCTTATACATAAAATCTTATACCTAAAAGATTAGATATGAAAGAGAAAATTCTCCACTCATTGTTAACCGACTTAACTTATTTACCTAAAAGCACTACATATGAGAGAGAAAATTATCTCGCTCAATTATTATATGACTTGTCTTATACCTAAAGGGACTATATATGATAGAGAAAATTCTTCCTCACAATAATTGTTAGCTAAACTATTCTATACCTAAAAGCATTACTTATGAGAGAGAGAAATCTCTCGTTCAATTGTTAGACAATTTATGGCTTAATCTTTTTCATATTTAAAATCTTATTCCTAAAAGTATTGCATATGAGAGAAAAAATTATTCCGCTCAATTGTTAACCGGCTTATCTTACCTTATATTAAAAAGTAAGAGAGAAAGCTCTATTGTTCAATTGTTAGGAAGTTTATCTCCTTAGCTTCCTATAACTAAAAGCAATACAAATTAATGAGATAGAATATTATCACACTCAATTGTTAGCCAACTTATCTTAATCTTAAACTTAAAAGATCTACATATGAGAGAGAAAATTATTCCGCTCAATTGTCAAGAAGCTTATCTTCTAATACCTAAGACCCAAAAAACACTACACATGAGATAAATATTCCCTCCCCGGTTCCTCCACTCAATTGTTAGCAAGCATATCTTCTAATACCTAAAACACTAAATATGAGAGAGAAAATTCTTCCTCTCAACTATTAACATGCTTATCTTTTACTTGAAATTAAAGAACTACAAATGAGAGATAAAATTTTCCCACTAAATTGTTAGGTGGTTTATCTTCTTATACCTAAAAGCACGATATATGATAGAAAACATCCTCCCGCTCAATCGTTAACCGCCTTATGACATAATCTTCTTATACCTAAAATCTTCTTATACCTAAAAGTATCACATATGAGAGATAAATTTTCTCACTCATTTTTAACCGGCTTATCTTACCTCTAAAAGCATTACATAATTAGAGAAAAATTTTGGCCGCTCAATTGTTAGTCAGTTTATCTTATTTTATACTTAAAAACACTAAATATGAGAGAGAGAGAGAGATATTGTACTCAATTGTTAGCTGGCTTAGCTTATACCTAATAGCACTATATATGAGAGAAAATTCTCCCACATCTTCCACAAATGTGTAATGATTCACCCATTAATAATTTTTTTCCTCGTCTTCCACATCTTCATTCCTTAATTACATAATTGTGATTATGTAAATTCATTTTTTCAATTTTGAAAACAATCATGTTCACTAAAATTTAATAAGTCATATGTTTATCAACTATCCCTATCTTGGTCATACATTAGAAACTTTTTCTTTAATTAATATAGAATAATTCATATTTACGTTATAAAATTAAAAGGTTGTTTAATAAATATTTAGATTTTTTTGAATTTTATATATACAATATTGATGTCATATGAAAGATCGTTAAAAATTATGAAATTTGATATGATTTTTGTAAAAATTGGATTAAAAATGAAAAAGTTATAACACTTTAAAGAAAAAAGAAAATTTACATATCATGGGACCCACCAAGTCTATCACTCAGCCAATTACCTTTCTTTGCTTTGATGTTTTCGCCATTAGAATTGGAATTTTAAGAGAAAATAATTATATGTTGCCACTTGATATTTTTATAGCAAATGAGCAAATTGTGGAGAGATGAACACATATGATTAATGAAGAGTGTAATTGTCTTTTAAAGAGCTATCTGTTTTCTTATATATATTAGATCAAATTATATTCAAAATACTTCAAATTAGATTATATTTAAATAAGACAAATTCAAATTAGACTATAATGTACATTATTATATTTAAATATATCCTATTAGACCAAAACAAACTTAAATAATACTATTTCGGTATCAAAATAAGTGTCCCATTATATTTTTTCACGTAGTTTAAGATAATTTAGAAGTTTACTATACTTTTTTTAAAAATGAGCAATTCCATGGGAAAGTGTTTGAGCCAAGGACGTCATATGGTGGCAGAACAGTGAGTTGTTGTATGTGGGCCGAGTAGTACCCGGAAAACCAGCGCACGAAGATCCGTAGAAGGGAGAGCTGGACTGCGGCGGAGGACGATGAACGGCCAAAGAAGCGGACGAACCGACTTGCTCCCACGGGAACTGTGGTGGCAGACTATTGAAGAGAGAGAGAGAGCTGCCCGGCCGCTGAGTATGGATGCAGCGACGGAGGCAAGGATGCACTGGACTGCAGTGGTGACGTGAAAGAAGACGTCGACACCACAGATTGTGGCGGAGGCACAGCGGTGACGACGAACGAATAGAAGAGAGCGTCCGACGTGTTGTGAGGGATTTTTGCCATGTTGGAGGATGCTTCCGCCGTGCTGTTGGAAGTGGTCTGCGGTGTCGTGGGCGGAGTAGACTCGGTCATGGCGGCGACATGTAGGGTTTAGGAAGAGAGAATTTTTTATACTCTTGATAAAATGTGAAATAATGAGAAATGATAATACTCCACTAGGAATCAAATATCCTGACATATGTATTTATAATATGAGAGTTCAAAACAAAATAGGAAACAAATATCCCTAAATATATTATTTTAGGAAATAGGTAATGAATTTTGATACTCCCTCCGGTCCCTATTAAAGTTCTCACTTTCCTTTTTGGGATGCCCCTTATTTAAGTTCACACTTCCATTGTAGGAAATAAAACAGTGCAAAACAATGTCAAACAGTGCCAAACAGTGCACTTCAAAGTAAAGTCAAATTTATTTTCTTAATATGTGTGAAGTCAAACTGAGAACTTTAATAGGGATGGGAGGGAGTATGTCAAAGAAGTAAATCAAATTAATTTATGTGATAAAACTTTGACATTAAAAATCATTCTGAACGGACAGACTATTTATTATTTATGCTCATATTTCTATCCTTCTTCTAACTGGCATCCGGGTTTCATCTGTTATTCTCTCACCACCGGAAACATTTCTTCTCCGACGACTCGGCTTATACCTTCCCTTTCTCATACTTTCATCAACAGTTTCACGTTTTCCTCACTCCCTCTCCTAAATCGTTTCTCCTCGATTTCTGACTCTACCTTCCTTAATTAGCTTCAGAATTACAGATTTTTTTTTGAATAATTTCCCAATTTAATGTTCACCATTAAGGAGTAATTGAACTATTGATGTGCAGAGTATACTTCACCGGAACCTGAATTACGATCTGAGATGAATCAGATGATGTGTTTGGATGCGTTAGTGGTATTCGCTTCTGTTCTGCTGACGTTCACACCGTGCTCGGCGGCGGTGACGGAGGCTCAGCTTCTGGTGAACATGACGCTGGTTAAAAACGCCTCAACTACCGGAGCTTGTACGTATATAGTCACGCTTCATCGATTTAGACGAGATCGAATTCATTTTTCCTGAAAGTTACTTATCAATTATTGGTACCGCACAGTACTTCGTATAATTATTACAGATTTTATTTTCAAAATTTATGATGCAATATGGATTAATTTCGCGCGCGCGTGGTATGCGTCGGTCAGATTGCTTGGACGGAAGTTTGCCGGCGTATCACTTTCAAAGAGGATTCGGCGCCGGAGCTCAAAATTGGCTTTTGCAGTTTGAGGTATGTGGTTAACTCTCAGTCCTGTCGTATACGTTACGTCATATACTATGGGTGTTTGAAATAGAGATCAGCTCAATAACTCAATTATAAGAGGTTATTAGAAAGAGGGAAATGTTTAGAAACAGAACTAAAATAGTTTCAAAATTCTAAAATAGGACTGTCATATTTTTTATTCTCAAAATAAAACTAATTACTGTCATGTTTAAAAATTATTGTCATGTTTGAAGTCTGGTACTACCAAAAGATGGCAGTAATTAATCCTGTTTTGGGAATAAAAACATGTTAGTCCTATTTTGGAATTTTCAAACTGTTTTAGTCATATTTCGGGTAATATCGAACAACCAAATGCTTTGTACCGTTATACATATTTTTCTATACACCAATTGAATTACCTCTGACAATTATTTTCATTTTATGAAAATAATTTTTATCGCAAACATTTTCAAAAACAATTGTCTGACGGATATATAAAATAACGTGAACAATTTGATGTGTACAAATAGCATTTCTAAAAAATGACACCACTTCAAAAAAATGTCGTTACAAAACAAAACTATATGTTACATATTAGGACTATACTTTTTTATTTCCAAAATATGAGTAATATGTGTCTCTCTTCTTCATATTCTACTCACAACCTATAATTTCTAATAGATTCAATCATTAATACAAAAAGTCATAGTCTTATTTATAATAAAAAGATACTCCCTCCGTCCCTTAAAACTTTGCCAAGTTTGACCGACACGGAAATTAATAAAGTAAAAACTGTGTGATTGAGGTTTGTGCAGAGGAAAGAGAATTAAGTGGAACCACAAATTCTTTACTTAAAAAGAAAAGTGGCAAAGTTAGTGGGACATCCAAAAAAGGAAAGTTGGTAAAGTTATAAGGGACGGAGGGAGTAAAATAAGTGGTGTCGGTTGTTTGGTATGGCAGTGGTGTTGGTCACTGGGCAGTGGCGGTGGCCGGCCGGGGTAGTGGTCGCGACTTGGCGGGGAGGGGCAGTGGGGAGGGCACAGGTGTGCGGCGATTCACCGGCAGGCATCGGGCCGAATGGCAGTTTGCCACTTGTTTTGGGGTGCTGGGCGGGAGATGGGCAGGGCGGTCTATGAGAGATGTACATATCAGTGTAATGGCCGTGCCGGCGGCGTGGCATGCAGCGACGTGAGATGGTCACTAGTCGGCCGTGGAGGTTACTATTTTCTGGAAAAAGTCGCCTAAAAATTTTCCGATGATCATAGTGACACGATTTACGACAACAGTGACGTTTAAAAGTGACGAAAGTCGGTAATGATATTCAAAAGTGACATAAAAATCAGGAAGTGACATATGAAAGTGACATAAAACTTTGACAGTGATATAATTTTTTTGCATGACATCACGTTTTCCAAATATATTACTCCCTCCGTCCCATATTTAACTCCGGTTTTGACCGGGAACAGGTTTTAAGATAGTGGAATTTGTGTGGTGGGGAGTTATACAGATGAGTGAGAAATGTGTAAGAATGGTTGTGAACCACATATTCTTTACCAAAAAGGGAAAAAGAAGATAAATTTGGGACGGACCGAAAAGAAAAGAATGAATATAATTCCGGGACGGAGGGAGTACCTTGTAAGTAACATTTTTGTCTTTTTTCAAAAGTGGTCACATTTTTTGTAATTGACCACTTGTAGTGTTATATATGGTCTATGTTTATGTTTGGCGGTACGTAATTGTCAAACTTTAAATTATTAGTTGGAAAAATTGAATGTTTAATTTCGATAGATGTGTCGGGAGCATGCATATGTTTGAACCAAAATTGTCAAATATTATTGATGCATATAATTTATTCTTGTTTTCAATCTCTATTTTTGTCATATTTAATTTATGCATTAAATTTATTTTCAATCAATTACACGGAGTAGTAAATCAATTATAGTAAAGTGGTATAAGGAAATCTAGCTTTGGTCGGAGGGAGGATGATCTCAACCGGAAAAAATTATGGTCATCATGAAATCATATGATCATACTTTGATACTATATCCTCGTCCCTCAATTGAGACTTTAGTTGCGGGAGGGAGGAAGTATTAAATAAACATTAATACGAAGTATAATGTTAAAGAGTGATAATAATTAGAGTGAATTACTTAAATAGCACAAAAAAGTGACCTAAGAGCACAAATTCGACTACATTTTTTAAATTCCTCGAATGTAGGACTATTTATTTGTGTTCGACAAATATACCCTTGTAGCTTTTGAAATGTTTTAATTAATAATAAAATCATAAAAAACTAATAAAAATCATAAAAAAAAATAAAAAACGTAAAAAAAATAGTGAAATATTTATAAAAATATTTATAATTTTTTTTAAAAGTTAAAAACTAAAAATTAACGTAAAAAAACACCGCTGTCTCTGCCACCTCCACCACCACCACCTCCCATCACCGGTTGAAAATCTTTCAACATTTTTATTAATGCCATAATAATAATGGTAGATTCAATGAAAATTTTGACATCACGAACAGTTATAGTGCCATTTTCTTGGCATTTTCAGAAAAAATGACATTTTTTACAAAAAATGACAGAATTTTCACCGATCGAAGGTCGTGGTTCTGGGAGGCGGTGGGAAAGGTATCATATTTTTTGTATTTTTTATGCGTTTTTACTACTTTTATATAACTTTTTTATAAAAAAATTTAAAAAAATAATTTTTTTTAAATTTTTTTATATTTTAATTTTTAATTTTTATTTTTTACGATTTTGTATTATATTTTTAATACAAAATTAATGTTTAGCCTTACCTTGAAGGAATAAAAAAGTAGTAGTCCTATTTGTGTTTTTTATGTAAACTTTAGTCGTATTGAGAGCGATTTTTATAATAATTATTCATATTTTTGAAATTTTAAATTATTTTAACCATATTTAGAGACAATTTGTATAAGCTTGTTTGGTGTCGTTTTTCTCTAATTTAGACAAGTTCCAATCACGCCGCTTTTGGACTTTTGTTTGTCAGTCCATGCACCAAACAAAAAAGAAGGTAATAATAAGGGGGTGAAATATTAAGGTTGTTTTTTATTAAATTGCTTTTGTCACGGACAAGATAAGATCATATCGATTAGTTCAAACAAATTCTTTTCAATTAAAAACATTAAAAGTTGTAAAGTCTAAATTTGTTACCACCTCTATATATCGCATTGAAATTGACGTATAAAAAATGACACTGTTTTAAAAAAGTGGCATTATGATTTTTATATTGAATATACATAATACAAATAAAGATGCTGTATATATAGTGAATATATACATATAATTATAAAAATGATATGATGCAAATTTTGTGAGATAGGCAAAAAGGTAAATAGTAGTATAACATTAAGAGAATGGAGAAATAATTTCACCATTTCAAGTTTTCACTTCATCTTCATTGCCAAATATTAAACAAACACATTAGATGAAACACCAATCAATATCACTCAATCACCATTGAGCTACTGGTTAGAAAAAATGTTTTTCTTGTACTCCATATCTTTTTTGTACAATGATGCCTAACAGTGACCAAATAACTTTTAAATTCTCATATTGTTTTGACAATAGGGTGGTGGGTGGTGCGACGACATTAAAACATGCTTGGACAGGTCTACATCTAAGCGTGGATCAACGACTTATATGAACAAGTGGGAGGTCTTTTCTGGCATTCTCAGCAACAATGCCTCTCTAAACCCTGGTATGGCTACTGCCCTCTGCCCTCAGCAACAATCCTTATCAAATGCAGAGTAGTTCGAAAGACTTCTACAAAAAAGGGAATAAAAATCTGGAGGAAACAAGTACCAAATATTTTGTAGAAAATACTTTATTGCTGCTATTAATCCGAGAAAAGGGTGTTTTAAATGACACAAATTAAAAAAATTGATTTTTTGGATACTAAGAGCATCAGTTAGCTAATTGCCCTTGTGGCTTAACTAGCCACATGACCATTTGCATAAAATTGAAATGTACCCAATAATTAGCTATAACTTCTTCATTTTCATTTATTATTAATAATGTTATACTCCCTCCGTTCTTTATTAAGTGTCCCCTTAGCTTTGACACAGGTTTTAAGGGGAAAATAATATGGGTAATGTAAAAGGTGTAATGTTTTGTGTTCAAATGATAATGTAGGAAAGAGAAAATGGTAAATGTAATAAAAGTGAGGGTAAAAAGGTATTTCGATTGAAAAATCTTACCAAAAAAAGAAAGAGGGATAAATAATTAAAAACATCCCAAAAAGGAATACGAGACAGTTAATGAAGAACGGATGGAGTATTTTATAATTCTCCCTGTTCAAGCTAGTAGCTCATTTTGGCTAGTTCGCATTCTCAAGCAAAAGAAAAGATTGACAAAAAGGCGTGAAGTGTTATCCTATAAGATTGACAATCATTTGACTAGTCATTTTAGAAGATTTCTCTCATAGAATGTGCTGTATTACTTCTGAAATCTGACAAAATTGTTTCAATTGCTTCAAAAACTTTTAATGTGTTGTGTGTTTTGCAAGTCAAAATGCATTTTATGTCCTGGAATAATCCCTCCATTTCTTTTCTTACTAAAGAAGTGCGTGGCTCATCTTTGTAAAATCACCTTTAACCAAATCATCACCACATTATTTACATACACTAAATTTCTGAATAACATTATAAACTGAAATCATGATATAAACAAATGCTAGGGTATACACTATACATGTCATAGGCTAACATGTTCTTCCTTTCACATTGAGCATTTCCAGTAGATTCGACCAATACGTCCAATACTATGGAGTCCCTTTTATAAAAAAAGATGACACTGCATCTCTGAGGGCTCCAACACTATGGAGTATGAAGTACGTTTTATAGGGTTATTAGATGAGTGCCCGACTCTAATACGAAGTATCATATTTATTATAAGGACTTTTATGTTTCCTAATTTATTTTAGTTTTACTTAGATAATAATTTTAGTCTACTTCTCATTTATTTTTTCTTTTCCAATCACACACACATTTCATAAATGATAAATGGACCTTGAAATACACCAAATCTAAAAACTATTTTTGACTTCTTTCATTTTTCATCCATTTCGATTACTGGATTTACTGGTATTCCTTTTTGGTTTTTTTCTGTTATCTGATCTCCCCTCTTGTTCTGATTTTTTTCTTATTATTATCTTTGTTACCTTTTCTCTCTTTCTTTTTCATATTTTTTCTACTTCACTCATTACTCCCACACTTTTCTTGACATTCTTGAAAAAACTCAATAAAGGAAATATTTCCCCTCCCTTTTTTAGTCGGTCATCTTTGACTTTTTCAGTCAATGGTGTTAAAATTTGACCGATAGTATATTTATATACAAAACTAATTATATACAAAATTTGAGCGATAGTATATTTATACACCAACCAAAATCAAATGAAATCAACTCGAGTAGTACCATCCAGTTCACAATTTCACCATTTTCAAAACCTGCTGTAAGAGTCGAACCGATGTACACCCCTAATTTTCACTTTATAGACTCTTTACTCTAACTTGAATGAGATTGTTATATGTATAATGATAACATGTAAATTGATTAAGATTTGATAAAATATGAACATGCTTACATGTGAGCCATGAAAGTAAACATGTGTGCAAATAAATATAAAGTAGATATAATAGTCTCTTGAAATCATGCTACTTATAACAACATATTGTTTAGATACTTTTTAACTATTCCAAATGTTTAACTATACTGAAGTTCTAAAGAACGTCCATATAAATTTTTAGAATATATTTTATTATATATAAAAGGGAAAGTTCCCGAAATAGGACAAACAGTTTGCAAATTCCAAAATAGGACTATCATGTTTTTTATTCCCAAAATAAGACTAATTACTGTCATGTTTAGAAAATACTGACATGTTTGAAGTCTGGTACTCTCAAAATATGGTATTAATTAGTCCTATTTTGGGAATAAAAACATGGCAGTCCTATTTTGGAATTTTCAAACTGTTTTAGTCCTATTTCGGGTAATATATATGTTGGTGGATGAGTTGTATGAGACTTCTGAATCTAATACTCTTCCATGTGAGAACAAAGAATCTTGAAGTGAAAAGTATAGTGCAATCTGACGGATATTTTCCTACCATTTAAAATAAATTAGAAGTTATTTTCCTACGAATATTTTCCTACCATGTAATCTTTATAAGGATAGAGGAAACAATATATTTTTGACAATATAGGGATGTTTTTTTTGGAACGATATAGGGAATTAGGGATGTAAGCAATAATACATCAAACCTTGATTATATTTTCTCATTAAGAAATTAAAAATGTAATATCTTGTATAATTCTTGTAAAATTAAGAATGTAATATCTTGTAAGTTGTAATACATCTTGAATATTTTTTTATAGAGATGCTCCTAAGTCAAAAGTAGAGGCTAAAACTGTAGCAAACATACAGCTACCTATCTACCATCTACAACATTGCCAATCTCTGTGTTTTCCATTTGATTGTCAGTCCAATCTGTCAGTCCTATTTGTTTAAAGGATAGAGCTACACTAAAAGCGTGCTCGTATTGATACTGTTCTTGCTCATTCTACTTCCGGGGCGTTATCTCTGCGTGCTAGAATCAGGAATTGAAGGACCCACAAAAGCCATCTCCCCATCATAAATAATTAAATATCTCTATTTTGTCCGGATGATGCATTAAGGCATAATGTCACAGTCGTTTTAATTAGAACTTTTGAAGTACAATTTACACTGCAAAAGATAATCTACTTTAAGAACTTATCTTTTTTATTACTCCGTATTATATTCTTTTGTTCTATTATTGTTAGTGTTATTGTGAGAACTTACCATTAAAGTATACATGCAGATTTTTACAATTGGAACCGAGTAAAGCTTAGATATTGTGATGGAGCATCATTTGCAGGAGATTCAAAGTTTGATAACGGGGTAAGCCTTTGAATGTTAAATTTCAGTTACTTTATAAATGCCACATGTGCTAGCTCTCTGTTCTTACAATTTTATGTATCTAAATCATTGCTCTTTCTTGCATTTTTATGTATGTATGTATCTAATGATCAATTCATTTTTTTGAACTCTTCTCATTCTGTCTAATTTTGTGAGTTATACATTACATCATACAATGAAAAATTTATGAAGTTAAAGATACAAATTCACATATGAAGTTTTGTACTCCTCGTTGGCCTTTAGGATAAAACTTGAAATCTAATACGACGTTGGGTCATATTCTTTAAGGAGTGGGAAAAGGTGTACTATACATAAAGTATGCATCTTTTTTGTTTTCCTACCCAATTATTCATTATTGACTAGATATGTGTTGTGTGTGATGCTCCCCGTCACACTCTAGTTTCTAGACGGCTGAAATATTGATATCCAGAAGGACCAGAAATCATTTTTCCTGAACAGTCTCATTTTGGTTTAAACTTTAAACTGCCCTTATTTACTTTGTTTTGCTCCCTACAATAATTTCAGTTCAGCAAATATTGCAACTCAACATCATAAGAATATGTGACAAAGCACACTCTAAAAGATGCTTCACTCCCTTGCCCCTGAGATACTCTTATGTAATCTGTCTTCTCATATTAGCACTGGATTAAATGAAATGCAATACAAAATACGGAGTATTAAACTCGTAACATCTTTTATTCATGTCTTAGCCCATATACTGTTGCACTTGGAGTAAACTTAAGATAACGGGAATTCTCAAGTAGATGAGTGCATAACTTTATCATTTGCTTAATTTTAAAAGCATGAACTTACGTGAAATGAAATGCAGACAGTATTGCTTTATTTCAGAGGGCAGAGAATTTGGCAAGCTATCATTCACGATCTCCTTCCAAAAGGTTTGGGTCAATCAAGAAAGGTAAATAGGAATTCGATGTCTTCACCTAGAACTTCTCTTTAGAATGAAATTTGAGACAACCCATTTTGATTGGCATACTTTACAGTTTACACGAGAATGTTTTATATTTTTGTACATAAATGTTTAGTTATTTGGCATAATCAGGGAGGTTAAGTGGCCCGCATAAAAATATACTAGTATATAATAACAAGAAAAAGTAAAATGGCCTAAGCTGCTTGCTGGACCTTTAGTAAAATTTGAATGTCTTGAGCCAGTTCACCATGGATTTTAAACTTAATTGATTATAAGAATGTACAAAATCTACTTTAAGGAGTGCTATAGTTTACGGTGTGATTACTTTTGTGCATTTAGCAGTCTTGCAGTCTCACTGGCTTCACTTTCAGGCTTTGCTTTCTGGTTGTTCTGCGGGTGGGTTAGCAACTTTTCTGCATTGTGACAACTTCACCAGTTATCTACCCAAGACAACAAGTGTCAAATGCTTGAGTGATGCTGGATTCTTCCTAGATGAGTATGTTCTAATTTTGGATTATAATTTTTTGATTTCTTTCTCTGGTTTTGCTAAGGTATCCCACACTACCCACATAGTCACCGACTCACCATATAAGGAATAAACTTGTTAGCTTATCGTCTAGGATTTAAGTTAAAGGCTTACTCTTGGGCTCTTATATGCTATTTAGGGTATGTTTACTTGTGACTTGATGGACTTGTTGGAATAATCGTTCAATCTTTAAGTCATGTTTACTTATGACAAAATTGAAAACACGATGTATTCGTTAAATAAAAAACTAACTTAATCATTAAGTCTTGATGTATTACTCCCCATTAAGACTCATTTTAAGACGTCTATTCGGCTAAAACACTTGCTCATTATGGAATAAATGTATGTTAATAGGTGACATTACTCATTGACCAGATAACCCAGAAATGACCGTATATTGATTATTTTACGCAGTTTAGTTTGTTCTTTTAGCACACAACATAAACAGTCTCATATATAAAAATCACTTAATCTAAACAAACATCTTAATCCCCTAGGTTGGTTATTATTGTCCACACTATTCTGATGTCCAGCTTGGTTAGCGTGAGGGGGGTTGGGGGTTGGGGTTTCAGTCTTATTGTGAAAATCTTTGAGGATACTCATATATCTTGTTGGGCCCATTTATTTTGAGGTATCTCCTCTCCAAATGACTAATACTAATAAAAACTGCTTAGCCTCACGCTAGACTTCCCTGTCTAACAGCTAGCATTTTTAGAACATTGCAAGTTTAATTTAATGGATGTTTGTCATTTTCAGGAGAGATATAAGTCTGAACTATACAATGAGATCTTTCTACCAGAACATGCTTTTCCTACATGTACGTCTTTCACCCATAGCTGGGGGCAAATGGGCTATATTAAGAAATGTTTTCTCTGATGACATGATTATTGTTTGACAGGCAGCAGGACACACCCTCAACAAAAATTGCACTGATTCTCTTACCCATCCTGAACTGGTATAAACAACTATACTATAACTACACTTGGCATACAATGAAACTATATGCTGGCAATCTTATATTCTGTTTATGCAGTGCATCTTCCCACAGTACGCATTACCTTACATTCAAACACCATTTTTCATCTTAAACTCTGCATATGATGTGTATCAAGTAAGATCATCATTCCTGTATTGCTTAATGGTTTCTTCTTTTGTGTGACGATTGAAGTGGTGATGATAGAAGTCACAAAACTCATGTTGTAATGTTGTATACAGTTTCATCACATACTGGTTCCACCTTCTGCTGATCTTGGTGGGCATTGGAAAGCTTGCAAACTCAATCCAGCAGCCTGTAGTCAATTACAATTGAGAACTTTACATGGTCAGTTTTTAATACGGAGTATTTTTTTTATTAAAGTTAAGTTCCTTGATGTGCATGATGACTTTGCAATATCAATCTTGTACAGAGACACGACTTTTGTACTCGGGTTTTCATAGTGAATTGAAAAATACTATGACAAATTTTAGAATTCAGCTCAATACTCCTGAGTAAGAAGGTTGTGACGACAATGGCGTGATTTAGAATGTCACCACAGTGATCTTTTTGCATGATACAATAGTGTTAACTAAGAGCTTGCTGGGCTGAAGAAAATTTGGTTGGATTTACTAATATTGCTGCTAAACTAGCTCAAAAGTGTATGTGTATCCTAAGTAGTATTTTAAAACAAATGAAATAAACTATCAGAAATAGGACAGTAGAAATCCATTTATCTTCATTTCAGCAAACAAATGTTGAATGCTCAGGTAATGCAGTAACATAAATTAGTGTTTAGTAAGATATATGGAATAAACTGAAAAGTGATGTACTCAACGAGCTCCAATAATATACAACTTAACAGGCACAATAAATTTCATGTAACCCCCACCCCCAACAAGTTGTGCTTGAGTCGGAGGTGACGAGGATGAGTCCTATGTTTGAATTATTAATACTTCAAATGATAATTATAACATAACCTACAATGGCTTTTCATTTCAAATTCCTTCAGGATTCAGAAGAGACATGCTCACAACTCTCACAGTTTTCTATTACCACTCGAGAAGAGGAGGAATGTATATAAATTCATGTTTTGCTCATTGTCAAAGTGAGACTCAGGACACATGGTTTGCAGTTGATTCTCCCCGTATTAAAAACAAGGTCCATAAAGTACATATCATTTGGCCTTTTTGTTGTTTCCCTAGGTCTGTTTGGTTGGACGGTTTTGAAGGGGAAGACTTTACAGAGCTTAGTCTATATTTTGATAAATAAAACCTTCATAAAACTAAATAAAGGGTGATGGAAATGCTATATGATCACATGCTATGTTTTTTCTTAATATTTTTTATTATGAAATTTGAAATATATATATATGAACTTCAGAACTCTCCTTTCAAAACCCTTCACCAAAAGTGACTGCTAGGTATTGGAAAGTTGCACTAAAGTGTTATTGAAACCCTCTACCAACAACAAATTTCTTGCAGACTATTGCAGAGGCAGTCGGTGACTGGTACTTCAGCAGAAGGGGAAGCAAACTGCTTGATTGTGCATATCCCTGTGATTCTACTTGCCATAATACCATTGGCTGACATACACACATTCAACCCTGCACACAGATTTCATGAAAAATTGGACCTGACAATAATTTTGTGATTCTAATATTGGTTGGCACGGTACATGATAACTGTCTATTTGCAGCAGAACCATTACAAACTGTCTGTTTGATTAGAGACTCTGTGACGGATTTGCAGAAACTTGTTACAAGTTCGTCACAAATTGACAGGTTTTTTGGAGTGAATGGAATGGTGTAGATAGAATATATGCGTGGTTTATGATACTCATAGGAAATAGGTCAAGAATACAATTATACAATTAGGAAAAGATTTGTCTCATTCACAGGCTCATAGCCTAGGATTAGTGAACAGATTTCATTTTTAGCAACGAATAAGAGCACCTTTTGATTGATGTCTTGATCTTTCATTTCAATGTATACCAATTTTAAAAAATATTTAGCTTCGCCCCTTGGACACGCATATTATTGATTTATTGCTACTTTTTGTTACAATAATTTGAAAATAAGAGTACTAGGTAACAATTATACTCAAATAATGAATATAAATACAATGTAATACTTCGTAATACTTTGTATTAAAAGATTTGAAATTGCCAAGTACCTTGTGACCCGATAACATCCTCATAAGTTACAAAGCACAAAAAAGATTTGAAGTTTTGTAATTAAAAATGTATGATGATTTTTGTTTTATATTGACTTTTTTGTGTTGTAGATCAAACTTAAACAGAACAAATCATATTTTTACAATTATAAAACACACTTAAAACAAACATTTAAACGACCAAATCAAACTTAAACTAAATTAGAACAAATCAAAAAATTACAATCCAATTAAAACTAAAAACATTTTAACACAACGGACATTAAATATAATAGATTGTTAGATTTGCACGTTTAAGCTCACAATAGTTTTAGAGATCTATATAAATTAGGTGCAATAACCCGGTCCAGATTCCAGAAACCAAAGTGGTCCAGCTTGATTATTTTGATGCTCCATTTGTACGTTTTATTTTCACAAAAGTTCTAGAGATCTTTAGAAACAAAGTTTTACGGAGTACGTAGTAACTCAGAAAATGACTGATGTGATTATTTTGTGTTGGCATGGTTTTGTTCTTAATTTGTTTTTCGGGTAAATCTATTACCAAACCGAATCCAATTGATTCGGTGAGCAAACTTGAACCTATTACATAACTCGAAAAAAGTTATTATAAATATAACAATAATAATAATAGGAAACACTAATTTAGATATCTCAAACTTCAAAAGGGTGTGAGGTTAGTACCCAAATTTGCACATGTAATATACTTCCCCGTTATTTAGTTCTTGCAACATTGTGATTTTTGCACTATTCACAGATCTCACTTTGTCCACAATTTTCTACTAATATACATAATCAAATTATTACGTATAAAATATTATTAAATTTCTATCAATGTGAATTTCCAAAATATCAAATTTTATAATGTTTACTAATACATAATTAAATATAATTACAGTCAAAGTTGTTTGACAAACGTGAAAGTTAAACTGTTGCAAGAATTAAAGAACGGGAGATAGTATATGCTCTAATCTCTATATAAAAATTATGTTAGCACCATGAAGATATGTTTTTTTTCACAAATGTAATTTTATGATATTAAATATATAATTTCAAATACGTAAATCATTAATGAGGATGCAATTAAAACTAGATTGTACCGAATTAATATTATTTATTTCACAAATGAAATTTCAGAATGTTTGCATCCAAATAAAATTTAGAATATTTTAAATTATGTACTTAATTCAATAAATTTATATTTGTAAAAAACATATAATTATGTTGTGAAATACGGAGTAACTTTTTATATGAAGTTCGGAGTATATACACGGAGTATTACATACTCCATGTGATTTTGTGGTATTTATCTCACATGCCTATAAAGTTTGGGTATTATTTTAACCATAATAATACTCTCTCTGTCCCAAAAAGGTTCGCCAAATTGACTTTTCCTAGTCAATGACAATCAACTTTGATCAATGGTATTTTTTAATATGAAAATATTTTGAATATGAAAATGAGAAAAATAATTAAAATACCCCAAACTTTGAAGAGGTGTGAGATGAACACTTCAAACTTGCATATGTAATTTAAATACACCAAACTTTATATAAAAAGTTATTTTAACACCATAGTCAATAATTATTTCTTTGAAAATGTAAATTTATTGTGTTAATTGCATAATTTAAAATATTTTAAAATTTATGAAGACACAATTAACATTCTAAACTTTCATTGCGAAATTAATAATGTTACCCTTAATCTATATAATTGCAACACTTTTAATTTGATATTTTAAATTATGCAATTAACCCAATAAATTTACATTTTTGAAAGATATAATATATGAAAATGGTGAAAAAATAACTTTTTATATAAAGTTTGGGGTATTTAAATTACATATGCAAGTTTGGAGTGCTTATCTCACACCCCTTCAAAGTTTGGGGTATTTTTATTATTTTTCCCTATGAAAATTATATCAAAATGTTCTTTTTTCAAAATATTTTCATAAAAGAATAAAATTTATAAATTATATACAAATATGATAATTAAAATCATTGTCCAGAGTTTGTCAATATTAACCAAGAAAAGTCAATACGGTGAACCTGATAGACACTGGCAATCAATTCAGAACAATAGAATACACAACAATCAAAGTAGAACAGTGCACATGAATGTTTATTGAATAAGGAAGAAATCCAAAGAGGTATACAAGCTTATGGACCATTTGAGATGCTCAATCTCCAATTACTAGCCAACCGAATTCTCAGGTACCTTTCTCCACTCTTCTACCTTCTATTTATAGTCACCTGTCACTTAAGGCATACCCGCCTGACTTACCCCTTATAAGAATCACAACTGATTACTTATTCCTCTTTTTGTACACCTTATCAAAATATTTAATAGACTGGGACACCTGCCTATCATTACTCCCCCCCTGAAATTTCACCTTGTCCTCAAGGTGAAGACCTAGAAATTGATCTGCTAGAGCTTGTAATGGTTCCCAAGAGTCTTCAAACTGTGGTAGACCCTTCCAGTGAACTAGGACTTCTATCTTGCCATCTTTGTTCATCCTTGAGTCCAAAACCTCCTCTGGACTGACTTGTAGTTCCCATTCTTCACTGAGGCAGTTAGGTAGAGGCTGAAAAACAGTTGTAGGGGATAGGGCCTTCTTTAGTAGGGAAATGTGAAACACTGGATGCACTTTACTATCTTCTGGGAGTTTAAGCTTGAAGGCTACAGAACTGAGTTTCTCCATTATCTCAAATGGACCATAGTACCTAGGACTGAGTTTCTGATTGATTCTTTTGGCTAATCTCTGAAGTTTATATGGCTGAATCTTCAAATAAACTTGGTCCCCCACATTTAGAACCACCTCCCTTCTATGCTTGTTAGCTTGTTGTCTCATCTGATTTTGGGCTTTTTCCAGATTTTCCTTCAACTCTTTAATTTAAGTATCATATTTCTTTGAGCAGTTAGCTTAGACACTTCCTCCACCGCAGTCAAAGTGACATCCCCTCTTACCACAGTAGGAGGTTCCTGCCCATATAGAGCTTTATAAGGTGTCATTTTCAATGAAGTGTGGTAATTTGTATTGTACCAGAATTCAACTCATGCCAACCATTTAACCCACTGCTTAGGCTTACTCCCTGTAAGGCACCTCAAATAAGTCTCCAAGCATCTGTTGACCACTTCAGTCTGGCCATCAGTCTAGGGGTGATATGTAGTGCTGTATTTGAGTTGGGTTCCAGCCAGTTTGAAGATTTCAGACCAAAAAGTACTCAGAAAGATTCGGTCTCTGTCACTAACAATGTTTTTTGGAAAACCATGCAATTTGACAATCTCCTTAGTAAATAAATCAGCTACTTCCTTTGCAGTAAAAGGGTGGGATAGAGACAAAAAATGAGCTGATTTTGTCAGCCTATCCACTACCACCATTATAGTGTCCTTCCTCTGTGATGTAGGCAGACCTCCTATAAAGTCCATACTGATATCAGTCCAAATATTCTGAGGAATAGGTAATGGCTGAATCAGTCCAACTAGTTTTAAGGCTTGATATTTGTTTGTCTGACATGTAGGACATTCCTCCACAAACTTCTTTATGTCCTTCCTCATTCCCTGCCAATAAAACAAATTAGAAACCCTCTTCATGGTCCTGAAATACCTAGAATGCCCTCCTACTGCTGATATTCATTCAATATTTTGGTCACTCTAGGGAATGCACTAGGTAACACTAGTTTCCCTTTGTAGTAGAGTAACCCTTTCTTATTCTGGAAATCTGGGTATTGGTCTGGCTTTGAAACCAGATTCTGAAACAATGTCAAACATTTAGGATCCTTCAGCAATTCCTCTTCTAACCCCTCCCATTCTTGACAAGTAACAATGGATAGGGAATGTAAGAATGGTCTTCTGGATAATGCATCTGCAACTCTGTTTTCAACTCTTGGTTTGTACTTGATAATGAAATTAAACCCCATTAGTTTGGAAGTCCATTTTTGTTGCTCTTCCCCCATTAGCCTTTGCTCAGTCAAAAATCTCAAACTTTTCTGATCTGTGTGGATTTCAAACATTCTTCCCAAAAGGTATGGCCTCCATTTCTGGACAGCTAGTACTATAGCCATCAACTCCCTCTCATACACTGATCTATGCTGATTTCTCTGGGATAACTCCTTGCTCATATAGGCAATGGGCCTTCCTTCCTGCATCAGTACAGCTCCCAGACCAGTCCCAGATGCATCAGTCTCCACTATAAACATTTTATCAAAATCTGGTGTTGCCAGTACTGGCAGGGTAGTCATGGTCCTCTTTAACTCCTCAAAAGCCTTGGTAGCCTCTGGTCCCCACTGAAAACTATCTTTCTTCAACAATTGTGTTAGAGGTAGAGCAATCTTGCTATATCCCTGCACAAACCTTCTGTAATAACCTGTCAGTCCCAGAAATCCCCTCAATCCCTTCAAGTCCTTGGGTTCAGGCCACATTGTCATTGCCTCAATCTCTGTGGGGTCTGCAGCTACCCCCCCACCAGATAAAATATGACCCAAGTAATTTAATTTAGACTGTCCAAACGAACATTTCTTTGCATTAATCACCAGCTGATTATCTTGTAAAGCCCCCAGAACCTTCCTTAAATGTTCTTGATGTCCCTCCACTGATCTGCTGTAAACTAAGATATCATCAAAGAAAACCAATGCAAACTTCCTCAGAAACAGCCTCAGAACTTGATTCATAAGGGCTTGAAAAGTTGATGGCGCATTTGTCAAACCAAAGGGCATTACCAAATACTCATAATGCCCCTCGTGAGTCCTGAATGCAGTTTTCTGTCTATCCTCCTCCTTCATTCTTATCTGGTGGTATCCAGATTTCATATCCAGCTTAGAAAAAATGGTTGCCCCACCCAATTCATCCAAAAGTTCTTCAATGATGGGTATAGGATACTTATCAGGTATAGTAATTCTGTTGAGAGCCCTGTAATCACCACAGAATCTCCACCCCCCATCTTTCTTCTTTGCCAGTAGAATAGGACTACTATAAGGGCTATTGCTGTGTTGAATTATACCCTCATTCAACATTTCTTTTATAATCCTTTCAATTTCTGTCTTCTGGTACTGTGGGTACCTATAAGGTCTGATATTAGGAATGCAAGCTCCATTTTAACCATAATAATACTCTCTCTGTCCCAAAAAGGTTCGCCAAATTGACTTTTCTTAGTCAATGACAATCAACTTTGATCAATGGTATTTTTGAATATGAAAATATTTTGAATATGAAAATGAGAAAAATAATTAAAATACCCCAAACTTTGAAGAGGTGTGAGATGAACACTTCAAACTTGCATATGTAATTTAAATACACCAAACTTTATATAAAAAGTTATTTTAGCACCATAGTCAATAATTATTTCTTTGAAAATGTAAATTTATTGTGTTAATGGCATAATTTAAAATATTTTAAAATTTATGAAGACACAATTAACATTCTAAACTTTCATTGAGAAATTAATAATGTTACCCTTAATCTATATAATTGCAACACTTTTAATTTGATATTTTAAATTATGCAATTAACCCAATAAATTTACATTTTTGAAAGATATAATATATGAAAATGGTGAAAAAATAACTTTTTATATAAAGTTTGGGGTATTTAAATTACATATGCAAGTTTGGAGTGCTTATCTCACACCCCTTCAAAGTTTGGGGTATTTTTATTATTTTTCCCTATGAAAATTATATCAAAATGTTCTTTTTTCAAAATATTTTCATAAAAGCATAAAATTTATAAATTATATACAAATATGATAATTAAAATCATTGTCTAAAGTTTGTCAATATTAACTAAGAAAAATCAATACGGTGAACCTTTTCGGGACAGAGGTAGTATTAAGCTCTATCTCAACTAGAACACTTTAACACGCATGTAGCTTCAAAAGACGCATAAGGTGTAATAATAATTTAGTTTAAAGCAATTCTGGATGGTATAGGATATTCTTGTATATTTTTGTTCAATTTTGTGTTTACAATTTATTGATTTTGAGTTTGTTTGTAAGTTTATATTTAGAAAATCTAAAATATACTCTCTCTTACAACTTCGTATTTTTTTTAGTCCTAATTGACTAATTATGTCATTTTCTCGGTTTAGTAAAGAATTCATGATCCAGGTTAATTCTCTCTCATTTGCACAAAACTCAACCACACATGTTTTACTATATTAATTCCCGTGTCGATTAAACTTGATGTTTTAAGGGACATAGAGAGTATATTATTTGAAACTTTGATAACAGAGCACACGATAAGAACTTCAATAATATTTTGTGTACACTTCAAGTTACACCTTATTTATTTACCATTCGCACAAACAAAAAAAGTAGAAGTACGAACATTTTGTTGAATAAAATCTGCCTGTATGAATAAAAAAAATCTATAAATTTATCTGCACAAAGAGAAAAATATATGTGCATAAACACTTTTTGTGTGTATACAAGCAACTAGTGTTTGTGTACAAACATAGAGCGCTCCTAAAGTTTAGGACAGAGCGCGCTCCTAAAGTTTAGAGCACTCTCTAGCAACATTAGAAACATAGCGTACTGACGTGATCTCTCAAAGTAAAGCACATTCTAAGAAAGTAAAGTGCACTCAAAATGTTGGGACATTGCTATAAAGCAGAGTTCCATAGATTTGTCATGTACGGTTAAAAGACTTGTTTATAAACAATGTTATTCTCCATATCGTATTAGTTGTGACATTACAATTTATACACTATTCATATACATTTTATTTATAATGTATGTGAATTTTTATTTTTAATCCTGAAGGTTAACCACTCATCAGTGAGGTAGTAAAGATGTTTTTACTTGGACTGTAATTTGCTGGTCTGGTCTGGTTTCTTAGTATTTTTATAACTATCCAAGTCTGGTCTGGTCTGATCTGGTCTGGGACGAATTACAGTCCAAGTAAAAACATCCTAAATGTTGAGGAACACTTGCCAAGTTTTATAATCTAATGATGTTTGATGAATTATCATAAATTTCAGAGTAGCTGCAACCTTATTATTGTATTTTATTTACTCAGCCTTGAAACGAGGGGCACTGTGTATACACGGTAAATGACATTATGAGTATTTCGTTCGACATAAATGATTGCATTAACCAGCAATCATCATAATGCATGTTCGAAGTAAGAACCCTAAAAAGGGGGTAAGCTAGATGGGAAGCGAACAAGCATCCACTCTTTCTCATATGCCACCAGATGGTACCATCTTATTTGCTCGAGCAACGAGAGCTTTAGATCATAAAACTTCTTCTTTGGAGGATCGCCATCTTCTTGAATCAGGTCATTCAAAATCTGATTCAACAATTCTGTCAGAAGAACTACCTTGGCACACAGTCACACACTACAGCTATAATGACAATGTATATTTAGATACAACCACGTGTAGAGTCCGATTGGGATAATGTATAGTACAAGTTTTCTGTCATTTACTCGGTTGAAATGCTTGTTAGCACCGGCGCCCCCCTTTTTAATTTAAAGATTCTTTTTTCTCTAAAACACGTATCTTTGAAAATAAGTCATCCCAAACGCACTCTTAGCACCGGGCTCCCCCTTTTTATTTAAAAAATCCTCTTCCTCTAAAAACACATATCTATGAAAATAAATAATCCCAAATGCACTCATAGGGGTTGTTTGTTTATCGGCGGTTTGTAGCCAATCCGCTGGAAATACCAGCGTTTTCCTTGATTAAAACAATGGCGGTTTGGTTAATCCGCTGCTATCCAAACACCACCATAATCTTTTTTATAAGACAGTTTCAAAATTATCCCTAAAGCATAACTGCATAAGTCACTACTGCACACATTGCTAAATATTACCTTCAATGCAGTTCCTAGTCTTCCTAAACGTCTTTCGTGTATAACAGAAAGTGTTCCATATCTGGATGAAGTGACATCCACCCACTTCTTTAGTTCTTTGAAGTTCTTCTTAAACAAGTCTGACTCAAAGTGAGGTGCCGTTGCAGGTTGGGCATCCGTCTTGTCAGAATCTCCGTCATTCTACCATGAAAAAGACAATTAAGACTGAAAAAGCTCAACAATTTCATGTAAAGACAAACATTATATTGTATTACTCTGTATTAAACAGAAGACCAGAACAACTGCCTCTGAGAAGGATGAGTTTCCAAAATGCACTGATTTTATTATTTTTCCAGATTTTCTCCTTTCGTTTAAATCGTACTGGTGATAATGTGTATATTTCCACAGGGAACCATCATGTTCTATAGGCGTGTTAAGTTATTTTCCTACATGCTGACATCCCAATCAGAGCGATTTGAGGTTTTGAGATACTAAACCGCATGGGGAGCAGTACTACATAGTACACACATATCAGCAAATAATAGTATAATACCTTTAATGATTCGATCTCTGCCAAAGCCAATCCTTTCTGGTAGAGTGCTTCTGCCAACTGATCCCGGGTTGTTTCCATTTTCTTCTTCATTTTCTATAGACAACATAACTTTTGCATGAGTAGAGCACATTATTATTCCGGGTAAAGCCAGCCAGAGATAAACTGGTAACATCTAGCAACCCAACACTATTCTACTCAAGAAACATAAAAAGTTCCATCATAGAAGCCGAACATCTAGCAACCCAACACTATTCTACTCAAGAAACATAAAAAGTTCCATCATAGAAGCCGAACTGTACCAAGCTAAAGAACCTTGAGTAACAAAAATAGTGAAATCAGAAACCTCACCTACTAACTTATTGCAAAAATTAATGCTCCCTGCCTTAGTTTTGTCCCAAGAAGTGTCATTTTAAAGCAAAAAAACTATTTTTTATTATGTTTAATGTAATTTTTCGAAAAATGTTTATGACAAGCAAACATTAATGTAGTTTTGACTAGTTTTGTATCTTCATCAAATGTAGTTGAAGAGACAAACAAATTAAAAGAAATGCAAGTATGATCGACAATTCACAAGACTTGTGTTGGGGTTAAGCACGTAGGGGGTGATAATCGAGTACTTGGTTTGCTTAAGGATCGTGTAAGTTCAATTTCCGAATTGATATTTCTCCCCTATGCCTGGGTTACAAGAAATTCAATCTATGATAATCCTTAAGGACACTCTAGAACTTAGGCACAAGAACTAAAGCCAAACTAGTGAGTATATGGATTGCTATCTTAAGTTGAATGTCAAAAATGATTAAGATATGTTGTATATCTCTACTCTCGCTTCTCTGTACGAAATATGGTGATATATATCCATATTACACGTCCCAGGCAATTGCAACACGTTTTGGAATAACTGTGACAGTTTTTGGAAAAACTGCACGAAACTGTCCAACCGCTCTAGACCTCAGTCTAGAACCACAGAGTTGGGATGTTTTTACTTGGACTGTAATTTGCTGGTCTGGTCTGGTCTGGTCTGATCTGGTCTGAACTGGTCTGGTCTGGTTTCTTTGTATTTTTATAACTATCCAAGTCTAGTCTGGTCTGGTCTGATTTAGTCTGAAACGAATTACAGTCCAAGTAAAAACATCCTTGGTCTACTGAGTGTTCTACCTCAAGTTCCACTGCCGTAGACACTTTGGAATAGAACTCGTTCTTATATACAAGTGTGCACTCCACGCCTCCTAGCTTGTATTAGAACACTGTTCTAATCCTCATTGGCACTCATGTCATTTCTAATTACACAAAACGGCCGGTGACACTAAAATCACCAACAATACTCCCCAATTTTAGTGTAACCCATGAAATGACATAACAAAGTTTTCAAACCAAAACTTGTACATAAATGAAAATGTCGATACGATTGAATTTTCATCTTAGTATTTTACACATTCAAAATATTCGAGAATCGGGGTGTCCTACGGATTGAACCCTTCAACCCATTTGAATACCTCAAGATAAAATACATACAAGTTTCTATACTCAACCAGAATACAAACTTGACACAATTATAAAGCCGTGTGTCCTAATCCCATTCATGATCGTATAAAAGCCAAGTCCCAAGCTTTTGAAGTGAGGCTACACTACACGATCATATAGGTGATTTCTTTACTCGTGTACCTGCTTACACTTTATCAAAGGAATTATTAAGAAATAAATGCAGCCTCCCTACTACAGGTCCGAACACACACCTTGGGATGATTTTCATTGTGTGTTATCCATTAAGTGTGAGCTTTCCGCATTGAATTCAGCATCTAACGTTGTATTAGAGGGGAATTGGGTGTCTCACCATTAAGGATTAAATAGACTTTAAACCCATCCCTATAACATATTTGTGCACTAAGTCCCGGGCTAAACTTTTGGTCAAGTGGTCCGCCAAGTTATGTTGCGATCTTACAAATTCCATCGAAATTACACCATTCTTGATTAGTTCTCTAATCATACTATGTCTAACACCTAAGTGTCTAGACTTGCCATTATAAACATGACTATACGCCTTAGTCAAAGTGGCAGCACTATCACAATGGATAGAAATAGGTGCAATCGGCTTCCCCCACAATGGAATCTCAAAAATTAAATTTCTTAACCACTCCGCCTCTTTACCGGCAGGAGCCAATGTAACAAGCTCAGATTCCATTGTTGAACTTGTGATACAAGTTTGCTTCTTGGATGCCCAAGAAATGGCACCTCCCCCAAGCAAAAATACTCAACCACTTGTAGAAGAATGATCCTCTACATTGGATATCCAACTTGCATCCGAATATCCTTCTAAAATCGAAGGATACTCAAAGTAACACAAACCATAATCCATGGTTCCCTTTAAATACTTGAACACTCTCTTCATTGCTTGCCAATGTTGAGTAATAGGATTACTAGTATAACGGCTCAACCTACCCACGGCATAAGCAATATCCGGCCTAGTGCTTGTCATGGCATACATCAAACTACCAATAGCTTGAGAGTACTCAAATTGTGAAACCGCCTTTCCTTTATTAGGCATCAACTTCACATTAGGATCCATGGGAGTACCAACGGGTGAACAATCACTATAATTAAACCTTTTGAGAATATTCTCAACATAGTGAGCTTATGTCAAAGCAATCCCCATGTTTACCCGTTTAATCCTTATACCAAGGATCACATCCGCCTCCCCCTGTCCTTCATGGAAAACCTTGATGATAACAACCTTTTTGTTTCATCAACCTGATTTTGGTTAGTTCCAAAAATCAGCATGTCATCAACATAGAGACATATGATCACACCCGCCCCTAAGTCATCAAATCGGCTATAGACACACTTGTCTGATTGGTTTAAACTAAAACCATTGGACAAAATAACTTCATCAAACTTTTGATGCCATTGTTTGGGTGCTTGTTTCAGCCCATACAATGATTTCACAAGTTTACAAACCTTATGCTCATTTCCCGACATAACAAAACCTTCCGGTTGTTTCATGTAAACTTCCTCATCAAGATCACCATTTAAAAATGTCGTCTTGACATCCATCTGATGTATAATCAGATTGTGTATAGCCGCCAAAGCAATTAACAACCTAATGGTTGTAATTCGAGCAACCGGCGCATACGTATCAAAATAGTCAATTCCGTGTTTTTGTCTAAAACCTTGAATGACCAACCAAGCCTTAAACCTGTCAACAGTTCCATCCACTTTCATCTTCTTTTTGAAGATCCATTTGCAACCTAAGGGTTTAGAACCCGGTGTCAAATCCGACAACATCCAAGTGTTGTTCTCCATAATTGATGACATTTCATCATCAATTGCCTCCTTCCAAAAGGCAACATCTCAGGATTCCATTGTCTCTTTAAAGGTCTTTGGATCATCCTCAACTTGGTAACAATATGAATATTTTACCCCTGTTTCATCCCTTGAACCTTCCACTAAATACAAGTGAAAATCGGGACCAAAGTCTTTCACGATGCGGCCTCGTTTGATTTTCCTTATTTGTGGTGCTTCGGGATTCAAAGCACCATCCAAACATTCTGGAACTTGCACCTCACTAGTTCTTGGAACTAGTTCCTTTGGTCTTTGAATTGATGAATATCTCATCTCATCAAAGATCACATCCCGAGACTCAATCACGGTGATAACCGCTACCGCATCATTAGGTTCTATTACATAAAACCTATAAGCCTTGGAATGTTCAGCATACCCTATGAATATGCAATCAATTCCCCTTTCCCCCAAAGTTTTCCTTTTGGGCTCGGGCAATTTTAAAACCGCCCTACAACCCCAAACCCGAAAGTATTTCAAATTCGGCGCTTTCTTGTACCAAAGCTCATATGGGGTTGTCTTGTTCCTTTTATTTGGAACCATATTTAGAACATAGCAGGTCGTGAGCATGGCCTCTCCCCAAAACCTTCACTCAAACCCGAGTAGGAAAGCATGGAATTAACCATTTCCTTTAACACTCAATTTTTTCGTTCGACCACACCATTTTGTTGTGGTGTATACGGATCCGTGGTCTCATGAATGATTCCAACAGATTGAAAATAATGGGGATCCATATATTCTCCTCCCCGATCAGTCCTAAGACATTTAATTGGATTACCCAATTGCAATTCAACCTCGGTTTTATTCACTTTAAATTTCTCTAAAGCTTCGTCCTTAGTGTGCAATAAATACACATAACAAAACCGAGTTGAATCATCAATAAAAGTAGCAACATACTTTTTATTGCCAAGGGAAGGAGTTGAGTGAAAATCACATAGATCACTATGTCCAAGATCCAAAATAGCCGAATTCCTTTCAACATTAGGAAACGGTTGTTTTGTGATCCTAGTAAGCATTCAAGTCCTACACTTATCATCATTAATATCAAAAGCCGGAATTAAATCATCTTTAAACATTTCATGCATTTTTCTAAAATTAACGTGAGCTAATCTAGCATGCCAAATCATACAATCATTCATGGAAGATGCCACAAAAACAGGATTATCACTAGAAATTAATTTATTCACAATATTCAAACGAAACATACGATTTGATAAATATCCAAAACCAACAAACACACCACCCTTGGACAGAATATATTTATCGGACTCAATCACTTGTTTGAACCCTAAATTGTTCAACATACTTCCCGAAACAAGATTCTTTCGAACCTTCGGTACATACAAAACATCAAACAACGTAATTGTTTTTCCAGAAGTAAATTCTAAAACAACTACACCCTTTCCCAAGATAGACACCATTGACTCGTCTCCCATGCGTAAGAAGGAACCGAACTCCACTGGTTCTAGGTCTTCAAACCATCCTTTATCCTTACACACATGGCTCGTAGCCCCCGAGTCAATCCACCATGCACATTCATCATCTTGTACGTAAAAAGATTCTGGAATGAGTGATACATAATTCTGGACAGAATTATCAAAGTTAGTCAGGAACTGACCTCCTTTCCGTGGAACCAAGTCCTTAGACCGTTCCTGTCCACTGCCACTCGTTCCAGCGCCATTCTTGTTCAGTTTCACATGGCAATCACGCTTGACATGTCCAACCTTTTGACACCTCCAACAAACCAAACCTTTCGGTTTCTTGTTGGGTTTGTCATGGTCTTCATACTTGCGCTTTTTGCCTTTCCCCTTATCTTTCGGGTTAGATTTATTATCCTCAACCAAGTGAACATGAGCCAGTCTAGATTCAACTTCACCCATAATTTCGTCATTCTCTTGCACACGAAGATTCTCCTCAATGCGCAAGTGACTCCCAAGTTGAACCAATGACAGTTCCTCATCTTGATGTTTTAAAGAACGTTTAAAATCCTTCCAAGAGGGTGGAAGTTTGTCAATTATACTCGACACGGCATAGGACTCATCAACACCTATCTTGTAGAGTTTAAATTGACCAAGAACACGAAGGAGTTCATTGTATTGTTCCATAACCGGCCTTGAGTCAACCATTTTATAATTATTAAAATCACTCACCAAGAACTTCTTGCTAGAAGCATCCTCGGCGATGTATTTTAACTCAAGAGAATTCCACAATTCCTTCGCACTCTCAACGTTTTGGCCTCTACGTATGTAGTCATCGTTCTCCCACTTGTTACGCCTCCTAGTTTGTTCCAAGGTTTCGTCCTCCATCACTTCCAGCATCAGAGTGCTCAACACGTACACAACCTTCAAAGTGGTGAGGAGGAAGTGCATCTTCTTTTGCCATCTACGGAAATTGTTTCCTTGAAACTTGTCCAATTTGTTGAACTTGGATGTCATCTCTTCCACGGTACTCATGATTATCACAAAGGAAATATCAATTCAATTGTCGGGGTTAAGCACGTAGGGGGTGATAATCGAGTACTTGGTTTGCTTAAGGATCGTGTAAGTTCACTTTCCGAATTGATATTTCTCCCCTATGCCTGGGTTACAAGAAATTCAATCTAGGATAATCCTTAAGGACACTCTAGAACTTAGGCACAAGAACTAGAGCCAAACTAATGAGTATATGGATTGCTATCTTAAGTTGAATGCCAAAAGTGATCAAGATATGTTGTATATGTCTACTCTCGCTTCTCTGTACGAAATATGGTGATATATCCATATTACACGTCCCAGACAGTTGCAACACGTTTTGGAATAATTGTGACAGTTTTTGGAAAAACTGCACGAAACTGCCCAACCGCACTAGACCTTGGTCTAGAACCACAGAGGTTGTCTACTGAGTGTTCTACCTCGAGTTCCACTGCCGTAGACATTTTGGAATAGAACGCATTCTTATATACAAGTGTGCACTCCACACCTCCTAGCTTGTATTAGAACACGGTTCTAATCCTCATTGGCACTCAGGTCATTTCCAATTACACAAAACGGCCGGTGACACTAAAATCACCAACAAGTTGTGCCTTGCCGAAATTAAAACATTATAGTGATTATACCCCGATGAAACATAACTGTATTTTTTAGGATGGAGGGCGTATACCCTCTTTAAGAGTATTGTGACAAACAGTGTAACATATTTTTTGTTCTAGTGTTATATTAGAACAAGATGTAAAGTTCTTTTGTGAGAAAAAACCAACACTCACTTCTGCAGCTTCATCGTCATCATCGATTTTGACTGATATGTATTTGGCTAGCTCTTCCCTATCAATGCTTTCAAAAACCTCATCTGCTGCAGCAATAATCTGCCAGAGAACATGCACATAAGAGAAGCCTTTATAGATTTTAAAAATAGTTCAGATATTTGCATCTCAAATAACTGATATTGTTAAGACAAGGAATGACTGGGCAGGTCTGAAAGTTAGTGTGCAGAAAAGTTACCTCTTCACAGTGATGGATCTTGTCTGCAACATTGTTTCGTGAAAGCAAGCATTCCAATATTTTAGCAAGCAATGGGGTATATTTTGGGTATTCTGACTGCCATAAGAGAATTCAGAAAGTGATTGATACAAATGTATATGCCATGGATTGACATGAAGAGATGTTAAGAATCATTGTCAAAATCATGGGTACTTTATTATGGTGTCCCAAATCAATAACTAAAATGGGGAGTACTTTTTTTTCAAAGTTGATGACAAATTAATACTCCGTATAAGTACCTTTTGGACAACAGTGAATCCTCCACTTGCAAAAGCCATTCTTGGCAAAGAAAAAACTAGCGCAATAAGGGGAAATTCAAATACAGCACATTGGCTGCATACTTATGACCCATAATTAGATTTCACAAGAAATCTACTAGCAGGTACATGAAGTCCAGCTTATATGTACCCCATCAAACTAGCTAATTGTTTGGTAAGCATAGAGAATAAAACTATGGAAAATTTTCCAAAATAGGAGTCAAAACAATGTGAAATTCCAAATTAGAATTACTATGTTTCCCTCCTAAATAAATAGGAGTTACTTACAGCCATTGTGAAATCATTACTGTATATTTTGGCATTACCGAGCATGAATATGACAGTACCAATGCCATAATTGGCAGTATTTTTCATACATGGCACTAATTACTACTCCCTCCGTTTCTATTATATCTTCCAACTTTCCTTTTTCATCCGTTCCAATTAAACTTCCACTTTCCCTATTTGGTAAAGAATTTGTGGTTCACAACATTTTTTACACATTTCTCTATCCTCTGCACAACTCTCCACCACACAATACTCACTTTTCTTAAATTGTGTGCCAAAGTGAAATGGAAGATATAATAGGAACGGAGGGAGTACTATTTAAGGAAGAAAGACATCACTCCTATTTTGGAATTTGACATTGTTTTTACTCCTATATAGGGCAATTTCTATAAAACTATGGAACACAAATTACCTTTTTTAAAGACAGAATAAAAATTACCTTAAGAGTAAGAGTTAACTTTCTCCATTCTGAACATTCCTCGAAAGTGCTTTGGTTTAAGCTAACAAGAACGTTTATTTTAGCATCACGGACCTAATTGGCAACATAATTGGATCAATAAAATTCACGCAATTGGTTTTGGGAGTTCATACAAAAGCATGAGGAAATTTACAAAAGATGTGTAAATTTCTATAAGCAATATAAAGCTATAAACACCATTGGGGGGGTGTACTCTTTGTGTACTACCTCCTCATATAGTTTTTCTGATACATTCTTGGTGCTAGTTAAAGAACTTTCCTCCTTTTCGTTAAGCTGTGTCATAGATAATACAAAAAACAAATAAATTAAAGGATAAGCAAATACAACAGTCTGTAAAGTAAGACAAGGGTGTTTCATAGACGGCATGTGAGTGACCTTGGTTGGAGGCAACATATAAGATATTCGATAAGATACAGGGTTTGTTGGTGAACCTTGCCCCTCATTAAGCTTTGCATACGACACTGTCCCAACTAATACAGATCCTTCAGAGTAGTTCTGCATGTAAGCAAAGGACATAAATTTAATGATGCTCACCTTTACCAGAACCTTGTGTTTAGTGACAGTTTCAAAAATGCAAACCTTTGGGAGTTTGTCCTTTGAAGGAGGACCCATATAAAATGCTTCCTTAACCCTTCAAATTCATATTTACGAAGGAGAAATACATTCAGAATGAGAACATAGAGAAAAATTAACTCCAAGTAGTTTTATGACTTCATACCCCGGAATCAGTACAGAAGATGAGAAATTACTGTCACCCGTCACTGGACCATCAGGTTGACCATAAAAGTTAAGTTGAATGGTATCCTGCATTACGAATATTCAGGCATGTGAAGCCTCTAAAGAACTTGGATGTAGGTAAGTATTAAAGCTCGTTTGGTAGCTGATTTGGCTTATTCTGCTTGCCAGCAAAAGAATCAGAATATGTACTCCTCGACTTACTAATTCAGTTGGAATAGATTTTACAAAACGTTGTTCCTTTTTGAAAATTCAGCAGATTCAACCATTCTAGTCAAATATGTGTAACTCTTAACAACCGGACTCTTAGTGTAGTAGACCACATAATATGCATTACCATGACTGACTGACTGTTTCGGTAACATTTCTAGTATAGTAGACAACCGAGTATGCAGTATCCTTGAATATATGTATATCAATAAAACGTTTGCATGTCAATAGAGTATGAATGTATGATCTACCCTTATGATGTCAAGGCATAATTACATTACGCTATCCTAGATGCCATAACCATGAAATAATAACACAGCAAAATATCTCATATTAATATATTATAAAAGGCTTATTACACAAAATCCGAGGTAAAAAATTAGTTCATTGTATATGTAATTCATGACTCACATGAGTCACATCTATCGTTTCAGAATCCAAAATGAGATTATGAGATGTCTAATTGCCCACTAGAGTTTATTATGTCCATACAGATCTGTTAACCTATTGAACAAGGTAGGAAACACACATACTGATGATTATCAAGTTCCAATTGCAAAAGGATTTGATGAAAAACAGAAAAAGCTTTAAGCCACATCATAGGGAATTACACCCTCCCTAAGTAGTTTAATCGTTACTTGGTGGCAACTCAGTCAAGGGCCGAGTAGCAAGTAGGACTGAATGCTCGGGATTACTCGGCCTTGCATTAGAAAATGTAAAAAATATATATGCCCCAAAGTTATAGTAATACATCAATCGTATAAGTCTTAAATATATACATAATACGTAGTATACAATAATAATAGTCCTAATAATCAAGTAAACATTCCAAGAAAATTAATTATCTAATAATACTTACAGAGAAATTAAGGGTGTGTTTGCCTTTGCTACTACTTTTAAGAAGTGATTAATTTTAGAGATTAAATGAAAGTGATTAATAGTAAAAGTTGGTTGTGTTTGAAAATAAAACGATTTTGAAAAGTAAAAGTTAGAGTGTGGTAAATACCAGTACTTTTTGTGTAATACAAAATGTGAAAAGCAGTTTAACGCATCCCTCCACCTGTTTCTAGCTTGTAGCTTTAAAGTGCTTAGTTTAGGCACAAACAGTTGTTTGAAAACATTATTTTTACTTTTTTAAAGCTAAAAACTGTTTTTAAGCAATACAAAACACTCCTTAAGTGGGAACCGCCACTAGAGAGCATGAGCCGATCTGTGAAATAATTATAAAACCTAAACATAGATTTTGTAATCTTATTTTTCTAGCTTCTAGCATACTTACTTGTCCCATTCCCCAAAAAAATATCAATTAGTGATGGCCAAGTAACTTAGTGAGTAAACATATTCACTGAGAAGTGAAAACCGCCGAGCAAGTTACTCGGAAAATTGGAATGGAACAAGTAAGTATGCTAATTGGAAAAGGTCTTACCCCGAGTAGCGAGTACTAGCTGATTAGATAAAATAGCTTCCCCATGCCATAGTAACTTCTCACTTTCTTTTGGCATTTAAAATTAAGAGAGTGAAATTATGTTGTTGAAATTTATTTAGAAAAAAATATGACCCACACACCCGTTATTTTTAATGGAGATGGGAAGCTTATTTTGGGAGGCCGGAGAGGGAAGTAGGGTGTTTATTTTAGGACAGATGGTAAATTTTCAAGTATAATATATCCTTGCGAAATTGATGAATCTTTATGAATGGAACCAGATGACTCATAATCTCATCCTGGATCCGAAAACAGTGAAAACTATTTATGAATTACATATACAACAGGTTGGTTCCATACTTCCATTAGCTCTTTCAAAGATTAAAAGTTTTTGTATCAAATAGCCATTCAAAATAACATCTACAGATGTACCAAAAATCTACCTTGGCCTCCAAGGTTCTTTCTATGAATAACACCAACTGCTTCATTTTCTCCAAGTACTGCACATTATCATGCCTGAACAGAGGACAAATCATGGTTGCTAAGTAAAATGCTCACCAGTACTCCCTACTTATTTGGTGGGTGAAACTAAAATCCTAATGACCACAACCCACTAAGCCACTAATCCAACCTCTCTGTATATATGTTTTTGATGAACATGTAAAATTACCAAAAGAGCTAGATCATTTAATGTTTCATATTGGAAGCAAAAGGTCTGTCACAAACTCACAAACTAATACTCCCTCCGGTTCCAAAAGATCTTGACACTTTGACTTCACAGTTTTTAAGGAAATAAACACTGTTTGGCACTGCTTGGCACTGTTTGGCACGGTTTTGTGTAGATTTATTTGCCAAATAAGGCAAATAAGGAAGTGTAAAGATCTTTCTGGTACTGCTAAAAATGGAAAGTGTAAAGATCTTTCAGAACCGGAGGGAGTATAATAGCACCAAGTATAATTCGCAAAAAAAAAAAAAAAACTTCTGCAATGCCCAACAAACCACATAAAATGAATACTAAACAGCATTCTCACCTCAAATAAAGCTGTAAACTGTATTCACCTTTAGGAAGTTTTGAAGATTTTGGATAGACATCACCCATTGTATAAACACGCTACAATCCAAATGAAAAGTCAAAACCATGCACATGGACAATAAACCCAGAATGAGTGAAAGAGACATAGACATCCATAAATACATATTCATTATTTGTGTGTATAACTATTGAAAAACATACAACCTTGACTAAATATGAATAATTGAACACATTAATAAGTTTTGAACAACACTCATCTGCTAAATGCTAATAACTCTTTTATGGTTGAATTAGACTCAATCTCATAACTAATATGGTATCCAAGCTTATTAAGCTCACATAAGCAATTTGAACTAAAATTCAATTACGTACAAGAAGTCAAGAACTAGGAGTTTGGTCTACTACGTAATAGGATACAAGTCTTAATATGGTATCACAATACACCCAAAAGGTAACGATACTATGGCATCAAAATATACTTTCTAGACCAGAGTATGTGGCTGTGAGGGGTTACTAAGGGCGTGTCACATTGACTTCATAATTATGATTGACTCCCTTAGCATTTGTTGAACAATCCTCCCTTTTTGAAAGCTCTACTTTGTTTCACTCACGCACAATCATATTATTAGCATGTTGTTAGAGCTATGCCCAATCTGCCAAATGAGTTATCAGTAATCATAAAGTGGTTCCCTATGAAAAAATTGCATGGCCTAAACTAATGTATATGGCTTGCAAGAGATGTTAAAGAGTGTCCTGCGTGAGGTTGCCGTGAGCTAAATATGAATATTGAACCACATAAAAGTGTTAATACGTTGTTGAGTAATTAGACACTTAGACAACTGTCACGTCTTAAGACTTTTAATGTGGTTGAGTAATCACTTAGACCTAACCTCATACTTAACAATAACTAAGTTCATAAAGTAATTGGTTGTACTACTTAGCACCATTGTATCAACATGACTATAGACACCAAATACGGTCTTCTAGATCTCCTAAATGAGATGATGTACCTTGTTAGAATCTGATATCATGTAAAACTGAGACTCGAACTTATTATCATAAATGCGGTTGTTAAGTAATGGAATCAGAGGCTTCACTTCAACCATATCTTCCACTTTAAATTTGTAACTGTATGAACGAGCGAATGCTAAAGTTAGTGTCACATAAGAATTAGATTAAAAGAGAAAGGGAATCAGCGACAGCAATTTATATTAAACCTAAACGCACGTTAATATTAATGCTAGTGTCTGTTTCCCTGACGGTAATTTGTCCCTATCTTCTGAAAGGGTATGAAGTTTAGCATCAATGGGACAATATGCAGTTCTAATCTGCAAAGTTTAATATCAGAGGGATCTTTCAGCTTGAATAATGTCATTGACATGAGGCAGAGAGAACTACTTTCACAAGTATTGCTGTAGGTGTGTCTGACCTTGTTAAGAATAGCACTAGGAGCAAGTGTCTCAGTTGATATAGAAGCTTCAACATCAATTCGTATAGGTGCTTCACTCCCCTCAAGAAACACTTCCTCTTTGTTCACATTGATGCCATGAAATACAATCTATGAACTCATCCGTTCAAAGAACAGGAATTAGTCAATAATCTGTGAAATCATTGTAAGTTGCAGATAAAAGCATATATGAACTCCCGTCCCCAGAGAACACAAAGTATGTGTCTTTTTTGAACTAGTTCTTTTATAAACCAAAAATGATCCCAATAAATTAATATAGTTTTTAACTCTATATATTTTCCCTCCCCTCCCCGCCATACACACACACACACACAAACTTGGGCGCATGTTGGTTCTTCTCATTTCCTTTTAAAAGAAAGAATTGTAAGAGCCAGAGGGGAAGAACATTATGGAACATTGGAAGTACTATTATTATATACTTATTTAATGTATTATTAAAATTAATAAAGTAATTTTTTAATGAATATTTTACATTATTTATATATATACATATACATATATTATTAATATCAATTAAAATAGTGAAAAAATTCCACTAATATTACTCCTGGAAAAGAGGTAGATAAAAATGTGACTTAATAACTATTAGTGACTATAATCGTGTTTAAAGTTTACATCATAGTGACTGCATGTAAGTTACTAATTATAAAATGAACACAATTATAGCCACTAATAGTTACTAAGTCTCATTTTTGTCCATAACTTTTTTAAAAAGGTAATACTTTAGGAAAAACCTCTAAAATAGTATATACATTAACTATTCCAATTAATACGTTATACATACTAGTATAACATAAGTACATAACATAACATAGCGTGACAATGACATAAACTTACATGCATAGCATATACTAGTTTTTTTTAAATGGATACACACTGTGTGGACAAAAACACATGAACATATATACCGTGTTTTTTCATGAGTTTATGTGTGAACTAATTTTAGAGAAAGAGTAATATAAATTTTATATCGTTACCCGCAGAATAATTCATGTTAAGGTGGTGGACTGGTGGTGGTGGTGATAAGAGCAAGCCCCCGCCCAAGATACTATAGTAAGTAAATTACATTTTCCGCAAGAGAATGAAAAATGGAGTTCAAGACATCAACAGTTGTGCCAACATATCACAATAGAAAAATTTGATAGGTTTTCAAATCAAGAGATCAGAATCAATAGATCAAATGCTTGGTCATTGATTTAAAAGGATTACCTCAAAGTCAATGATGGTTATCTCACGGCTTCCTATTCCACTAGACCAAAACTGAGCTATTGTTAATTCCATTGTGTGACCACCCTCCACTGCGAAGAAAAAGCTTTTAGCACAAGGTGAAGAAAAAGTAGCCACACTTTCCCATTTCTGCGGTCTTTGCAAAGGAGAGATCTACATAACACGAAAAATATTATAAGTGGAGCTTCTACAAAAATAAAATATCAAAGAAAAGAAAAGAGTTAACTTTTACTTTTGGGCCCACAACTATAATTGTATTTCCGATTTTGTTCCTCAACTATCAATTCAACCACTTTTGATCACTTGATATTAGAACAACAACATCCAACAACATCCAGGCCTTAGTCCCAAAGGAATTAATCTTTTGATATTAGAAAATGTACCAAAATTAATACACAATATTTAACTGAATCAAATTTCGTACTTCCTCAGATATGGGTATTTTAGATATTTTGGACTAAATTGAGTAAATTTTAAAAATCAAAGGGGCTAAAAAAGTGGGTTTCATCGGTGCCTCGTTGGTCAAGAATCAAAAGTGGAAATGTCACTATAGTCAATGAATCAAAAGTGGTACCAATACTCTGTATGTTTTACCTGAACCATGTCAATGAAGAATCTTCTAGCTGTATCAAAACTTGATGCTCTAATGGTGGCCTCGACCCAAGTAGCACCAATTGGTACATCAATAAACTTCCGTTCAACATGTCCTAAATGGAAAGGAGAGAGGTTGAGAGAGAAAATAGAAAACTGAAGGCAGAAGACATAACTGAAATAACATGATTCTCTATGGAGGGGATTGCCATGGGGAAGAGCCCCCAAGATTCCCTGTCTGAGCATATTTGTAGTTCTTAATCTGCATCCAACTCTTGAACCCTATCAATCTGGAGCCAAATAATTCAACATGGCATGTTTTCAACGGTGAGGAGATAACAAAGAATCACAAAAAAGGCATAACCATCTTGAGTTTACTGTAAAATTGTTTGCTTCTCTCACTACTGAATTCAGTTTGGTGATCCCAAACTCCTTTGTCAGGTAATATTTTTATTAGAATAATTGTGAAGTACTTCAGAATTTGCAATTAGAAGGGTTGCAACTTGCAACAAGGAACAGCCTCCCTGCCCTACCATTATTCCATGTATTCACATATTCTTAGTTGTTCAACAGTGTTCAACCCTTGAACTCTTGCTATCCAAAGCCAAATTATTTTTAAAAGCAAGCTTTCTACCCCAGGAGTCACTGAGTCAGGGTGTGGAGGGGATTTTTTTTTCCCTTTTTGGTTTCTCTTTTCGGATTGCATTCTAAACTTTCTAACTTTCTGATTGCCGGATATTGTCTGCTTCTTCTCTGTCATTGCATTCACTTTGGCGATTCCATGCTTGCATTTTAAAGCAATTTGTTCATTTCAATATAAGGAAGTTTAGCTAAGAACTTCAAAAGATGCATAATATAGGGGAGGTGCACCAGTAACAGCCTCCCATATTTCCCTGTCTTGAGTCTTGACATATTTTTAGTTGTTAATTCCATCCAACCCTTGACATATTTCAATCCAAAGACAATTGTAGAACTCAAGAAGGCAGAATTCAATCATCAGTTCATGCTAAGTCTATCATGATCCATTTTTTAGTATGACAATAACTTGTCATACAAAAAATGCAGAGAGAAACCATACAACATATGAAATAACATAGTGCAGTAAAAAGCTAACTGCTTGACAACTAATAAGCAGTCATTCAAGAAATAGGCCAATTACCTGGACAAAATGACATCCCTTGAAATGGAATCAAAGGAGGGCGAATTCGCACTACTGTTGGCTTGGTTATAGTTATTGGAATTCTGAAAAGAGGACCACGCCATGGGGACTTGCAGTCCATCCCATATATTTCGTAATAATGCAAGCCATCGTGAAGACAGGTAGGGTCGACAACTACACTGGAAGTGGAGGGACAGACGAATGAGGACATGTAGTGAGTGCTCATTGATGCAAGAGGGGCATCACTTTAATGTGGTTCTTAAAAGAAATAAACAAATACATCATATCAAATGTATATTGTATCTCATGTAAAATTCCTTCCCTAACATAACTCTAAGGGAATATAATACGCATGCCACTAAAGGGCAGCCCCATGCACATTGGGGGCGAGGGTCCGGGGAAGGGTCCCACCCCAAGGGTGTATAATACGCATGCCACTATTGCATAAATTTTTAATTGATGCCTAACCCCAAATAACAATGTTCATGAAGTGAAAGCGCTCGGTTGCCCCTATGTAGATGCTAAGCATTTAACCATTTCAATATTGTTTAGAACTTCTTTTCGAGAGAAACATGAAACTACAATATTTATACAAGTATTAACTACAAATCTTAAGAGCCTACAGTCTCAAGGCAGAATAACACTATAAGAGAGGATTGTAATTCTTAGACATGGGTTAATATATATTTAAGCATGGGGTGAAAAAGTTTTGTGTCTTTGTGTATTTTCTTTCTGAGAAGGGGGGGGCAATTTAAAAAATTGTGAGATAGTTAGACTAACTTGAAGCTGCGTCCATTATGGGTGAGGAGGAGGTACTCGGGAAATTTAACCACTGAGTCTCCAGTAGCATGCAACTGAATGCATTCTTCAAATGGAACCAATTGCTCTAAATTACTTGCATCATCATGAAACTTTGGTTGAACCTCAACTGTCCACTGAGGAAAATATTTATTCAGTTTCCTAGAAGAAATTTACTTCCAAATAAATGGCCTATTTTTTTTATTTCTTAACTGCGCATAAGATTTAAATATCTCATTAACATGCTAGATCAAAAATTGAAAGCCTCTGATAAATCACCTCAGTTGATTGGTTACAAGAATTAATCCCCCTCAGGTAAATACCTCGAGATGTAGGGGCTGCACACAGTAAAAAAATGAATCTTAATCAGGCTCAGCATAACATCTTTGGTCATTGTACAAAAAGATCTAACAATAAGGAACATGATCTAGACTGTTAGAATACTTAATAAAACTGCCAATAGACATACATATTTGATAGACTGCAGACTATGGCATTCTCAACCTATAGATTTATCTTATGTCCAGCAAGTTATAGAATTTCTACTTTTCATTTATTAAAAAGGAAAATTTCCCTTCAAGTTGAACTCCATATGTTGCATAAAGAATGTGAATGTTGGTAATCAAATGTATGTTTATCGATAATGATGAAAATAGGGGGTAAAAGGGAGTACTTGACTTCCCGGCCTGGTTTATCTTGACTTGATACCACACACAAGGGAAGTGCTTTGACTTCTGAATATACTTATAAGCCCTGTCATGTATCTAAGGATTAACAAGTACTCTAAAATCACAGAGGCATCTCTGTTCAATTTATCAAAAACTAGCTTGCAGAAAGAAATAACTTAACTTGTCAACTTGGAGAAGCCCTTCTCCGCATGTTAACTTATCTTCTGGCAAAGATCCTACAGGAGTAGCTGTATTTTCTAGAGCTTTCCGTACACTGTACGGGCTCACAAAAATGCCTTCAGCCTGTTAAATAACTGCTTTTGTCAGAGAGTGATAGAAAAAATGAAGGTGAAAAACAGATTAATTCGAGTAAACCTTCATGCCACTTATAAGTAGAGCAACTGCACCACAAGCAGAAGGAGATGACATGGATGTTCCATTCATCAACTTGCGTCGTTGAAGGGTCCATGTAGGAACAGGAGCCACAGCTCCCCCAGGAGCACTTATTGAGACCCCAACATCTCCATCAGCACTTGGTCCTCTACTGGACCTGTGAACGAACATTTGTGTTTCACATGTAAACTAATATGTCGTAAATAGAAAAAATATAGGTACCAAAGATTTATCAGTTATCCAGTAGACAAATTGGAAAATCAGTCAAAGCCTATAGCACATACCAAGTGTATTCAATGCCTTCAGAAGGTGGCTGAGCCAACAAGTGAGTCGCAGCAGCCATAGCAGGGGAAACATATGCACCAACTCCTATAACGCTCGATGTAGTACCCCCAGGTGCACCTACAGTAGTCAATGCTGGTCCTTCATTGCCAGCGCTGCTTACAAATACTATACGGTGCTTATTGACAACCTTAATATTCAATTGAAGATACCATTATTTAATTAAACAGCCACACATTTCTTGGGTTGTAGGCTCTGCGAAGAAATCCAAAATTCGAAAATATAGGGGGTTTAAGGAGTTACCTCATTGACAAGGTCAACAAAGCGACCATAATCTGGGAGCAATGTAGGTTCCCCATAGCTCATGTTTATTAGGTCACACTTATGCTGCTCACAGGACATAAAAGGTATAATATCCATGCTTCAGAAACTGATAATTAACATACTGGTGCCATAAGAACAATTTATTCGCACAACGTCAAATTTAAAAATTTATTCGACTAGTGAAGCTGCTAAATAGAGTTTAAAAAGAGGCAACCCGCAACGTGATGCCCACCCCTCAAATAAAAAGAAAGAAAATGTTGAAAAGAGAAGCATTATAGTGAGGCTAAACAGCCAAGCTTGTTGTTATAGTATTACAAAAGAGAGAAGTAGAGGTACAAGTCAACATAAATTTGAGAGAATACATAAAGTAATTGACATAACAAAAGGATACCTCAACAGCTGCAATCACTGCCCTAGTTAATCCTGTTCCAGTTTCCATTGAACCTAAGCGAGAATCACCTATTTTACATGATACCAACTGTGCTCCAGGCGCAATTCCATTTAGCAAGGGTTCCTTAGAATGTCAGCATGAATTGCACAAGCATTAAATCATGTTTGTTTCCACTGAATCAATCATTAGCTGATTTTTACCAATGTTATATAAATAATAAAATAAAGGCTTTAATATATTTTTATATTTTTAGACCCTTCAAATATGACATATTCTAAGCCTGTTTGGTAACATTAAAATTGGCTGATTCTGGTGAAATATATGAAGTTCTGGATGAAGTGGCTGTATTGGCTAATTCTGCAGATTCATGAAAAAATTATATTTAAAATATTTGTTATTAATAAATTAAATAAAAAATTATATGAAAAATAGCTAAAATGATCATCTACAGTAACTTCAGTCAATACAGCCAGAAAGTAACTCCAACCTTACTTTTTCTGCTTATTACAAAATTCAGCGCGCGAAATCAAAAGTTGTTTGGTGAAAAAGCTAGCTGATGAGCCGAAAAAGGGGTCACCAAACGGGCTCTCTGTTTTAGATCCCTACAAAAAAAATCATCCTTGTAATATGCACTATTTTCTTTTCAGTCCATCTCTAACTCCGAGATCACTCAATTTAGAAAAAAAAATTAATGTCAGTTCAATAAATATATTAGAAACTTTTAAGGAAAATATGAAAGTTAAAACCATGGGCGGAGGCAGAGGGGAGGCAAGCCGGGCCCCGGCCCACCCTAAATTTGAAAATTCTTTATATTTTTAGTGTAAAAATATATGTGTAAAAATTTGTTTAAAAAAATTCTTTGTACCGGCCCACCCCAACCTTCTATCCTGACTACGCCCCTACTTAAAACCACGTGAAAGTGTGAAGCTAATCTTTCACGTTACTAAAATAGGTCAACGGCCTTCTAAAAATAAATCATGTATTTTATGAATGAGATGACGAAGAATGAGAGGGAACGTATCAGTTAGAGTTGTTTCGTTTTGAAATGGAGGTAGTTATGATCGGTTTGGAACTAAAAAGAAAGCAACATATATTACAGGGATGAAAGACAAAAAAATAATTTTGTAAGGACGTAAAACAAAATGTACTCCGCCAAATCAGTCAAGATCTCTCCATATTGGCCGCTCTCCCCCGACTTCACTATTGGTGGGAGGTCTAACGACTGCTGTTGAGAAGAGGAATTGTTTTATTCAGACGATTCGTTCACGATAATGGGTCTTTTAGGGAACAATGCGAGTGCAGGTTTAGTCATAGCCCAGTCAACTGTTGGAGGCAAAGACAAAGAAAAAACGGAAAAGCCGAGTACACTGCATCTCCAGTGAACCATCCTACTTCATACTGGTGGTATACTTCATCTAGTAAAGGAAAATCCGTCAAATTGATTCACTTTATAGTAAGAATATTTGAACTCATGGATTGGTACTGGCGTCGACCAGCTTTGCGATACGGACAGACACGAAAAAGAGCATGTTATTGACTCTACCACTGTTGAGCAAAAATCATAGGGAGAGTGAAAGACAGGGATCCCATGAGTCTTTAAAGTGAGTGCGCCTGTTCAACTTCAACTCTTTCAGATGCCGAATCTGAAGAAGCAGCTGCCACTAGAGAAAGAGAAGTATCAGCAGGCGCTGCTTCAAAAAAATCCTATTTTTCTTGCTTTCCCTTAGCAGCGGGAAAGGAGTCTATCTATCTGCCTAGCTTTGGTAGATTTCCCCCAACGCAATTCACAGAAAGGTACGAAAGAAAGGGATTGCTGCTGGAACTGCTTTTATGGATTTATTACGGCTCCTAAATAAGTTCAATTGTACGAAGCCTGCAACAAGGACTTATTTTGAGTTTGGACCTCGAGCATCCTCACTTGTTTTGTTCCTTACGTTATTTGATGGGACTAAAAACATACATATTGAGCCTAAAATAAATACCTCAGGATGGAAAGCTGCGGCAATTCCAGCAACGTGGGTTGCATGTGGAGAAGAATCTGTTACAATACTCAGAATATTTCCATCATTGTATACATTCAAAACAAACGTGCATGCATCCAATGCACTAAATACACCATGCTTCCGTTCAGTCCTGTAATTAGTTAGAGGAATGAAATCAGCAAGCTTTCCACATTCAGGTTTATCTTGAAGACCCTGTGTGTCAAGAGCAGCCCTCCATACTTCTCCATCATGCCATACAACAGCATCAATCACAGGGCCTTTATCATCATAGCTCTACAGTTGGGATTTTTCAACAAGGAATAAGATGCAATTACAAAAACATGGAGATCTATCAAAAAAGAAAGAAAAGCTATTACATCAGGTTGTTTGCGCAGAAGTTCGACTTTATTCTGCAGGTCTGCACGAACCCTTTTCAAGTTTCTATCCTCAGATTTTGCATGTTTCTGCAGGATTGGTGGGCTTAGACATAAACAAATCACTACAAACTCTCTGAAACTGACCGTCATAAACCATAAACATTAAACAGAAAAATGTTCCATATGCATACATAATTATATATAGAGAGAGAGTCATAGAGAGAGATGTTCCTGCCAGTCCTTCCTGATCGGAACCGCTGTCCGGCTGCCTTCATTTGAAGTGCTTCTGGATGGAATTTTTCAATGGAATTTTGTGAGCATGTTCTTCATATAGTGTAGATTTTGTCCACCAAAATTCACTTTAAAAATCAATCAGGAAGTCAGTAAAATAAATTATTGAAAAACGGTCCATTTTTATACGTTGTCTATATTTTGGCGCAGTGTGTTTCAATGATTTATTTAATTGACTTCTTGATTGAACTTTAAAGTGAAATTTGGTGGTCATAATCTACACTTCATGAAGAACATGCTCACAAATTACATCAAAAAATTCCACCCGGAAGCACCTCAAATGGAGGCGCCCGCCGTCGGGGCAGTGGTTCCGGTCAGTAAGACCTCAAATAAACATCTCTCTCTCTATCTCTCTATCTCTCTCTCTCTCTCTCTCTCTATATATATATATATATATATATATTCCATGTGTGAGTCCAACGCACAAGTACAATTTTGTATGAACTGGTCGTAATAACAGAAATTCTGAAGCAAATGTCCAAATTATTTTGTCTGTCATTTAGTTATACTATAAACACACACATGTATAGAATGGTGATTATAAGAAGCCATAGGATGAAACCAAGCACATGCTGGTGAGTTGAACTTTGGAATTACTATGACAAATTAATACAGTGACAAGTGAAAGGATGAAGATTGAAGAACCTTATCAAAATCATCAAGCTGCTTTACAGCCTCAGCGATAGCTTCTTGATTATTCTTATCCCACTTTTTTCTTCTTTCTTTCTGCAAACCAATGAAAGAAATGATCTTTAAGACCAGAAAATCTAACAAACAGCGTGCCTTGAATAAATAAATGGGTTACTTATAAAGTAGCAGTCTTATGATTCACCTTCATTCGAGAAGTTAGATCATCAGTAAATAGCTCAAATACCATTTTGCAACCAACATGCCATTCTCCAGATGGATTCTTCCACGAAGAGTTCACAGTCAGTGATGTCCCTAAAAGAAAAGAGGGCAATGCAGGCACAACCACAGGTATTGCAATAAATAAACCTATAATTTGAAACAGCACAGAGTTTTTATCCAGATGAATCCAAACTTGAAGAGTTTGTACCAGAGGCTCCTCGAATGTGGCCACAAGCACCCGCCTTCACCACAGTGGATGTATCAACATCTCCGCTCCCGGTACTGGAACAATGTAGCATGATAAAGTGAATAACCATTTCTATTCGTATGCCAAATCCAAAAACACTTCTAACACAATATACAAAGACATGAAATTCAAAATCTAGATCTTACCAATCTAAAAAATCGAGAACTTTTGGTTTGCCATCAGATGTCACATGTAAACCAGCTGCAGCTGGATCGACCCCAGAATCTATGACTCAAAAAAAAATTGAAGGGATTAGCCTCAGTGATCTGAACGAACATAAGTTCTGAAAACATGCAGCTCTTCCACGATAAAATGCAGAACTGTATGCTACATTTATCACTTCGCACTGTTTGCAGCAATCATTTTCTATACCAAATTGCATAAAAATAACTACTAAAGGGGAAAAAAGCCACTCAAATGGCATCTCAGTTGATCAGAGTTCAGAACTGACCGAAAATTGCTATGACAACGCCACGGCCGTCGTAGAGGGGGTGCGCTTCAATGAAACGGTCGGCAGCGATTTCCTTTTTCGGCATTTGAGAAGCGAGGAAGGTGGACTCGGTCAGCCTGAAATTGAGCAAAGCTGCATTACCTTCGCCGGAAGCTTCAGCCGCGGAACTAGACATCGGCCGTACTGGTCCGCCCTCTCTGTGTCGAGTTGAGCTGCTGGTCAGCTATCTTAGGCGAAGGGATGACTGGATAAGTAGCCTTCGATCAAGGAAGCACTTTTAAAAAGATAATATGGTGTCCTTGGGATTTCAGAAAACAGGTGGTTTTATAGTGTGGAAGGCTTTCTACTGTTTAAAGGAGGTCGTTTCGGTAATTACGTTTGGAGGGTCATATTTGGTATTTCAGCTAGATTTATTATGTTGGAGCGTCATTTGTTAATAATTTTACCCCGGCATAATAATGATGGCAAATCACAAATGTGTGGCGTTAAAGCCAGGTTTGGTTGTTTAACTATTTTAACCGTAGCCGTTAAGATTAATCTTAATTCTTACAGTTACATTGTTGCATGTTAGGGTGTGTTTGGGAGTTTGGAGAGGAGAGGTAAAGATTTTGGAGGTATATTGTTGGAGGGGAAAGGGAGGAGAGGGTGAGGAAGCTCTTCTTTGTATTTGAGAGTAATAAAATTGGAATGAGATGGTTTTTGAATGAATTATAATTAAAATGACTTTGAGATATGACAAATTCAAATTGTTGAGCTGATATTCATTTCTAATTTAGCTTAAATTATCATGTTGTTAATTATCCTCCAAAATCCTCCAAATTGGAGGAACTTAAAATTAAGTATTTGGAGGGTTTTGAAGGGTTACAAAAGCCCTCCAAAACCACTCTCCAATTTTTTAAACACCCAAACATGAAAAAAGAACCATAAACTCTCAAACCTTCCTCTCCCCTCCAAATCCCAACTTCCAAACACACCCTTAGGGAATAGGGATACGACAATCAAACACCCCCAGGCCCCATTTTTAAATTGTACACGTCTTTACAAAATTATGATCACATTAATAACATCAATTTTTCCTTGAATATTACTAAAGCAAAATTCTCCAAATAAAACTAAATGAAATTTTAATTATCAAAATAGGACCCTAACTTCAAAATTTCCTAAATAGGACTACCTTTCCAATTCTACCCTTTCTTTGTTTTAATAAAATTCATAATTCATTAATAATTAAGATATAAAGTAATTAACATAATTTTATTTGTAATAAAAATGTAAAAATAAAAATAAAAAACAGGAAATAAAAATTATTTAAAATTAATAAAATAAAAAAAATCGAAAAATAATAATTTATAAAATAAAAATAAAATAAATAAAAATGTAAAAAATAAAAAATACAATATGCAGGCCTATGCTGCCGCCTCAGCAACTTCCTAACACCACCACTCCGATCATCCGAAAAAAATGCCAACATGTTTCAGAAATGTCATCTTGATGGCAGTTTTGGAGAAAAAATTTGGCATTTTCAAGAGTAAAATGTCATCTTCATGATATTTTCAGAGGAAAATGGTGGTCATTACACAAAATGGTATTTTTAGCCGATCAGAGAGAGTTGTTGGGCAGTAGCCGAGACTGTGGGAAAGCTCTCCGTTTTTTAAGGTGTTTTATCTATTTTTTATTTATTTTTAAAGTTTTTAATTTTTTAATTTTTTGATTTTCGTTTTTTAAATAAATATTTTAGAATTTTTTTATATTTTTTTACGATTTTTGTATAAGTTAATTTTTTTGTTTTTGTATTTATTACAAGTTAAAATATGATTATGCTATTAGGTTGTAGTAAGGGTGGAATAGGAAGATAGAGTATATTTTAGTCCTATTTGGGGAAGATAAATAACATTGTCCTATCTGAGCATTTAGGGATTAGTTTGATCTTATTTAGAGCTATTATCTCTATTTAGAGACTAAATTAAAACTAATTTCCAAAAATGTGGTCACATTTACATTTGAACAAAAAATGATTAAGATAAAGTGACTGTCAAATATTCATGTCACTCATCACCCTAAGCCACCCTACCCTACTCCAGCTCTGACAAGCCCAACCCAGCCTCCGATCCACCCCTCTCCAACTCTGATCTAGCCCAACCCGGCCCACAATTTTCCCGTCATCGCCACCATCGTGGAACCCTAGTCATCGTTGCATCGTCGAACCCTAGTAGCCGCTTTCACAAAGAGATCCATCTCCTTCACAATCGTCATGGTTAGATCGACGCTAGGTCCGGAGAAGTTCAACGCCGCTAATAGAAAGAAGAAAAAGAAGAAGTTTGTAGGGCAAGCATGATGGGTACGACGGCGATGATTCTTTACTTTGGCCGCTTTGATCCGTCCTTGTGATCTGCAATGGCCAAGGTAGTGGAGGAAGCAGCGATCCATCGGGTCCGATTTGTCCCTTTGATTTGCACGTCTGCTTCATCCCTGCGATATGTATGTCTGCAAACCCATAGGAGTCCACTGGTTTTCAAGTGCGGCAACGAAACAACGGAATTGGAGATTAGGGATTAGCAAAGAAATTAACTTTTGTGACTTTTTTGTCACTTTTTCCTCCAAACGAAATCGAGTCACATTTTTGTCAAATAGAAGCTGAGAAGTAATATTTGTGACATTCTTTCTTACAAATATTTACTACTACAGTCCAAAGTGGTAATATGCAAAAACTTTGGTATATTAATCGTACTTATACTATGAAAAAATACTCTTAGTACACACTTTTTGGTGTACACACTTTTACACATTGTCTATGCAGACCTTTTTTTGTTTGTACAGACAAAATGTATTTTGACAAAAACACGTTTTGTCTGTACAGACAAAAAAAAGTCTGCACAGAAAGTGTGTAAAACCAAACTGAAATGGACTGAACCAATCAAACCGTGATTTCAAGTTTTTATAATGTAAAACCGAACCATAACCAAATCGAATTTTCTACTTTGGTTTAGTATTTGGTTTTTGGTCGAACCGAACCGAACAAACCAAGCACACCCCTACATACACCAAGTGTCCCATAACAATAAAATAAAATGGTTGATTTAATGCACAATGGAATTAATATTTAAAAATGTTATTGTTAGCCACGGAGGCCAAGCACAATCGGTGTCTTTCTACGTAGAATCAGACTTGAGGTACACATTGTGTGTACACACTCTTACACACTCATGTTTGTGAGGCGTTTTTTGTTTGTCCTAGACAAAACATATTTGTCAAATACGTTTTATCTAGGACAGGCAAAAAGAAATGCCTTTACAGTCATGAGTGTGTAAGAGTGTGTACACAAAGTGTGTACCAATAGATTTTTTCTTCTACGTGTGGCACCTATTAAGTTTCTAATAGGCCTGTTTTATCTTCATCTACAAAGTACCCTTGCGTCTTTTCAAATAATTTTATTTTAATTTCCGGAGTATTAAATAATACTCCTCCCGTCCCTTAAAATCCTTCTCACTTACCTCTTTGGGATGTCCAAAAAAATTCTTTCCGTTTTTCCTTTTGAAAATTTTGTGTGACTAACATTCATTTATCTTTTTCTTACTCAACCACAATCATACGTTTTCATTTTATTTCTGTTTTATTGAACTCCGATCCAAGTCAAATCAGAAAGAATTTTATGTGACATAGGGAATATTTAACAACCAACATAACGATTTATAATTTTGTTTGGTAACTCTTATTTTCAGCTTTTCAACCTTATCAATCAACTTATTTAAAAAAAATATCAATCAACTTTTTTACCAAACATTTACTTTGCGCGCTCAATTGAGAAATAATCAAAATATGTAAGGTTGAAGTTGCTTTTTTGACTGAACAGAATTGGATGAAGTTATTGTAGAATACCACTTTGATTACTTTTATGAAGTTTTATCTTATTTTTATTAACAAAATATATATTTAAATATAATTTTTCCATAATTCAACAGATTCAGCCAATGTTGTCACTTCAATCAGAGTTTCATACATTTTAGCAGATTCATGCATTCAGCTAATGCAGCCATTTCGGTCAGAATTTCATAAATTGTAGCAAATTCAGCCGATTCAACCAATTTCAGTGTTAAAAAACGGGCTGATGTTAATACAAAATTGTTATGCTTATGCTAGGTAATCTCATGTAAGACCTATCAAGTATAAGCATATAGGTTTTCTATCAATTCACTCACTCAATATATTGCTTTCTACACAAATATTCCTGTCCGGCCAGGCCGGACAGAAGGGTGGTCCAGACACCCCCATTTGAGATGGTTCCGGTTGGTAATTTTGCTGAAATTGTTTGTGTATGTTCTTCATTAAGTCTATTTCATCCATACCAAATTTGAGAAAAAAATTAAATCGAGAAGACAATTAAATTATTTTTGAAAGATAACTGTGTTTTATATGTATATAACGGAAATAAAATTAAATCGGGAAGACAATTAAATTATTGTCAAAATGAATGAGCGTACGGCCCCTTAATCTTTACTAATCTCTTACCGAATGATTAAGTGTGTGTGAAGGTATCCTAGAATAAATTAAATCTCTCTTAATTTATTCTACATGCAATTATAATCCTAGTGGTCATTCAAGTTACAAGAGATATCAATTAAATCATTCAAACGCAAATTAAATCAAGATTCAGGCAATTAATCCGTCATGAGTTTAGCCATACATCATGATTCACCCCTTCATCAATCCCAAATCCCTAGAATTAATTGTCTTTAATTAAAAAATAGGAACTTACAAATAATCCAAGGGATTGAAGAACAAGATGGAAAACTAAAAGAAATTTCATCCCTAGGCCTCTCTCTAAGCTCCGTAAGAAAAAAAACGGAGGTTTACAGGGTGTTTAAATAGAAAACAGATCAATCCGGGCCGAAATAGGGCTCCTGGGGGCGAAAACTGCCACGCACGGCGTGCGTCCCCCACGCACGGCCAAACATACCCTAAACGGACTAACCTAGATCATAGAAGCTAAATAAATAATCAAGCCAAAACTAGTTGTGGCTTTGATACTCTATCAAGAGTCTGAGTTTCATATATTTTAAAATGTTAACTTCATTGAGGGATGAAACTACACATTATATATTGATTTAATAGTTTATTTCTTTCTGGTGTGAGACAAACATTTCAACATACTTAAACATAACCAAATTATAAATATATAATACAATAAACTACAAATATAATTTTGTTTGCAAAAGCGATTTTACCTAAAGGGAGAATCCTCCCCCAAAACTATTTCACGCTTCTCTCTCATTTTAATT